ACCCTGATCAATCAGTAGCCATCAACAGTGAGGCAAGACCCTCCACCAGCAAAAAGATTATAAGTCACTGAAGGCTCAGATAATGGTTAACATTTTTTAGTATTTTAGTATTTTAAAATTAAAACATGTACACTTAAAAGATATAATACTATTGCACACTTAATAGACTACATAAATATAAATTTAACTTATCTGCATTAGAAAACCAAAAAATTTGTGTGACTCACTTTATTGCAATATTCACTTGATTGTGGCAGCCTAGAACCAAACCCACAATATCTCTGAGGTATGCCTATTAATATTTTTTGAACAAATAGGTCCTTTTCCTTGATTTCTTTGGGGGTATAGACCTTATAGTGGCATTGTTGGGTCAAAGGGTATGCACGGTTTAATAGCTTTTTGGGCATAGTTCCAAATTGCTACCCAGAATGGCTGGACCAGTTCATAATGCATTAATATAACACTTTCCCCATGGGCCCTCCAGTATTTGTTGCTTTTTTTTTGTCAACCTTGTCAAAGAAGAATATGAAAAATCCCTAAAAATTTAAATGGATTTGTCCAACATCATGCAATGAGTAGGTGGCAGAGCCAGATAATATTATACCAAATCTTACAGCACAGTGTATACAGTAAGTATACCACACCACACTAGGTATACAGTAGGTGCTCAATATATAGTAGGCTGATACGACAAAACCAAAGCATTTTTTCAGAAAGTTCTTTTAGTATATACAGTGTGTTACAGTAGTTGTTAATTAACACTTTCCCCACGGTTTCCTTAGAGATGAATTTGATTGCTAGATTTTGATATTTTAAAGTTGTTTTTAAAGGCAGTGGGAAAGGACACTTTCTGAGAAATCACGAAGCAGGGATGTATCATGAGGGTTTATTAAACCTACAGTACGATAAAGAAATATTGTTCAACTCTGTTACCACAGTGAATGTCTGGCAAAGTGGGTACAGAAGAGAATTACAACTCATTGTTCTTAACACTTTTAAGGAAGAATAATATGAAAAAGCCAAAGGTATAACTTGTTTTGCCAAAAGCTATTAAATTGTAGTTTATTCTACCTCAATGCAAATGGTTCACCCATCCATCTATGCTATTTATTTCCTAAAAGCTCAAGATCTATATTGCATGCAATGTAATTTTGTCCTTGCCAAAAAACGGAATTACCTTGTAAACTGACCTCCACTAGAAAGCAAAATGTTGTATGGTAACTTCAGGCTTCCAAGTACTTCTAAATACATTTTTCTATCAGCTGCTCTTTTGGTTTCAACCCCTCAAACACCATGCTTCTCTCCAGATAAACTCATGACCTAAAATTTCATCATCATGGAGACTTATTCAGCTTTGATTTTCAATATCTCCTCAGGATACTCAGTTTCTTCTCCCCTCTGATTGATGAGGCGGAGCGATATATTGCTCCCCAAACCTCTAAAAGTGTCCAGTTAACTTCATTTGCCATCATGGAAATAGCCCAGCTGGATACCCTCTGTTGCCCCCAACACTTTTTGGGCTTCCTTTTGTGTATTGTCTTCCCCCACTAGACTGTAAGCAGCTTGAGGGAAGTAGCTGTCTTTTTCTTATTTGTATCCCCAGTGCTTGGGAGCTTAATGTTTATTAATTATTGACTACTGCTTAAAATATACCTATTTTAGGCAAATGTACCAAATACATATTTTCATTTTGGATGCCCTATATATTCACATTAAATTTTTTTTTATACCCAAAGGTAAATCAAAACTGCATTGTAAGGCTAAACATTTGTCGTATATACACATAAGGCCTAATTGAACTGTCAGTTTAATTGTGGATCTCTAAGTGTTTATATCCTCGACTGACATATTTAATAAGATCTTATACCAGACTAAATGGCAAGGATTTGATTTTCTACTTTTCATGGATTGCATTCAAAACAATCAATGGCAATTTATGTAGACATTGATAAAGACAACTGTAGAATATAGTAGAATATAGTGGAAGTAACATGAACGTACACAAATATAAATAGAATAAACACAAGCTAGCATAGCAAGTGAAGACTGTACTAGCTGGGGGTGGCAAAATTAGAAAAGGTTTCATATTGAAGGCAGTGTGAGTCTTTTAAGTAAGGGATTTCATAAGGCTAAGGTAAGGAGGGAGAGGATTCCAGGTATGTGGGATGGCCAGTGCATAGGAGTGGAGATGGGGGGATTGAGTGTTGAGTGTGAGGAATAGTAAGAAGTTCAGTTTGGCTAGACCATTGAGTGTCAGTTGATAACTTGTTTGTCATGTGGTAGGAAATGAATCTATAGGAAATAAATAGGAAACAAATCTATTTTAAGTACTAACTGTTAAACTTAGGGGTGTCAGCTGTTCTTAGCTTGTAATGTGATTGTTAGTTTGTCCCACATTCAGCTGAATATCTATTTAGTTATAGGAAAATAAGTTTTTGGTAAGTTAAAAGCCTTCTTTTTCTTTCTCCTATTTTAATTCCAGCTGTGGTCTTCAGTAAAAGGTAAGTATTAGGTCTCAGTGTAGTAGCCTGACAAATTCATTCAGACTCCTATGATTTGTAAGACAAAAAATATAAACTTATGTATTTAAAAAAAACACATACAATTTTGAATATTCAAAATTGGTACTATTGTATTATGACTTTCAACTTGCTGTAACTATTTTACACATAAAACAAGATGAGTTCAAATCTATTTTTTAAAATCCTGGAATGTTTGAACTAGAAAAGATATTAGAAATTAAATGATATGACTCTTTCATTTAATAAAGAAATTAAGGCTCAAATTTGAAATAACTTGCCCAAACTCACACGGCTGAGAAAATAGAATACTCAGGTTTTCTGATACTAAGTCTAATGCTCTTTCCATTACATAAAACCTGTTGTTCTACTGAAGCCCAAAGCACTTATCGATCAATTATTTGTCCACCTTACTCATGCTGTTGTTCAGTCATGTCCGATTCTTCATGACTCCATTTGGGGTTTTCTTAGCAAAGATACTGGACTGGTTTGCCATTTCCTTTTTCAGCGCATTTTATAGGTGAGGCAACTGAGGGAAACAGAGTTAAGTGACTCACCCAGGGTCACACAGCTGAGTGTCTGAGGTTGGATTTGAATTTAGCAAGATGTCTTCCTGATTCCAGGCCCAGCACTCTATCCACTGTGCCATCTAGCTGCCCCAGTTATTGACCACGTATTATGTTCCAGGCCCTGTGCTAGATGCTGGGAATATGGACAAAAATGGCACAGGCCCCTCTCCTCCTCTCTAAAGGAGGGGCCTAATAATAGTTGGTGAATGGGGAGTGGAAGCAACTTCAACATACACAAATATAAACAGAATAAACACAAGCTAGCAGAGCAAGTGAAGACTGCACTAGCTGGGGGTGGCAAAATTAGGAAAGGTTTCATATTGAAGGCAGTGTGAGTCTTTTAAGTAAGGGATTTCATAAGGCTAAGGTAAGGAGGGAGAGGATTCCAGGTATGTGGGATGGCCAGTGCATAGGAGTGGAGATGGGGGGATTGAGTGTTGAGTGTCAGGAATAAGTTCAGTTTGGCTAGACCATTGAGTGTCAGTTAATAAGCATTTATTAAACACCTCCTATATGCCAGGCACTGTACTAAATGCTGTGAAACAAAAAAAGCAAAGAACAGCCTGGTAAGTTGCCACTGATTGTTTTGAGCACAGTCCATGGAAAGTAGAAAATCAAATCCTTGACATTTAGTATGGGATAAGTTTTTATTAAATATGTCAAAGATATAAACATTTAAAGATCTTAAATTAGAAATGCATAGTGGGGGGGAGACACCATGCAAACAACTATATGGAAACAAGATTGACATAGGTTGGATAAACTAGAGATAATCAAAAGAAGGAAGGCACTAGCATAAAGGGATATAGAGAAAGGATTTTAGCTGGGACTTAAAGGAAGCCAGGGAGGCCAGGACTTGGAGATGAGAAGGGAAAAGAATTTCAGGCATGGGGGACAGTCAGTGAAAATGCAGGGAATCAGGAGATGGAGTAATTTATGTGAATGTAGGAAGGGAGGTAATATATATCTTAAGGCTGGAAAGATAGGTCCAAGTTATGATAGAGTTTAAAAGTTAAACAGAAGAATTTTGTGTTGTGTATGAACGGCTTCACATCAAAGACTTATATCCTTATAATCAGCATGACCACTAAGACAATCAAGTTACTAAAAAAAACTCAATTTAAGGTAATGGCCAGGCTATAAATACATAAAGGCCCAGAAATTGTAGCAAATAGTGCAAAATCAAATGGTATACCAGTCTTGGTATCTTACTTTAAGGTACCATCAATTAAGAAACAAAGCAAAGCAAAAAGAAAAATCATGTTTGAAAAGAGTAAATTATAGTACTCAAATAATCAGTAGAATCAAAGCTGCTACAAAATTGGACATTGCTGCATTTGTAAATTAAACTTGTACAGTACATTTCCACATGTATGTGCATTTAACATGCATCTGCTACTATAGCAGAGCTAGGACAAGGTAGCCTATACAAAGTTTGCAAATTACATTCATGTGTTATCTACTGTACCCTACATGATATGAAGAGATTAATTTTCTGGCATTTATAAAACACATAAAGCTGTATAGTGACAGTTGTAGTATTTCACACAAAAAAGGGATCATAACTTTGGTGATTTGGGGGTTAACCTGAATTTTTGGGAAAAAGTAAAAAGTGAGTTTCCACTTCTAGAATATCTGAGTAGGGAACTGGCAAAGCTAATTGTGGAGATGATCCAAGCCTGGCAGAGATACAGCAAAATTCTAAGTTTGCCTATCAGCTGTCAGCTTACTTAGCTGCCTCCTAAGCCCAGTCCACTCCCCTAAACCTCTCCTATTTTTGGTACCAAGGATCTTGGGAAAGTTGATCATATAACCTACCAAATGGACCTTTAAAAATTCATAGCATGGGAAACCAAAGCATTTGCTCCAGGAATCAATGAAACAACCAATGGCAATAATACAAAGCACTATGCACACTTAAGAGATTTTTATTACAGGCAGGAATTATCAAAAGTGATTCTTATCTCTTAGATTCCCCTCCTCTTCTTAGGAAAATTAAAACTTACTCTGGAGATCACAGGTATACTTTAGGTAAATGTATATTTCTTCCTTACTCTTCTGCTGCCAGGATAGTGGTGCAGTGGGAAGGATCCTGGGTTTTGAGCCAGAGGACTGGAGTTTGAATCCTGGCTCTGCCATCTTTATGACCTTGGCCAAGTGCCTTAAGGTCTCCTTTCCTCCTCTGCAAAATGTGACCAGCGACAGGCATTTTAAAGAATACTTTAGCATTATAATCTGTGGTTATAAAAGAGTGAAATCAAGTTAATTCCTAACCTAGTAACTTGGTCTCATTAATAGTACAGTTTTTAAAAATAGAATAACTAATTCACTATCTGCAATGTTCATAGTTTTGAACAGCAGTGTGTTTAATTTTAAAAAATCAGATAGCATTTCATATACATTTTATTTTGCTATTAAATAGACATTTTGAGATGTTTAGAACCCTTTCATAGGTGCTAAAATGTCACTTTAATTGATGTACTTTGCATGGATTAAACATCTTTTGAAAGGTTGTGACCACACAAAACATTCAGAAAGAAAGTGATATGATGCAAAATTACAAGTGCTAATAGGAATTTTAGAAATCCTTTTATACCATTTGTAAATCTGGACTTTTTCAAATGCAGTTTAACTGGACTACATTTGTAGGTATAAATAAATGCCTGTCTGACTACTCTGCAGCTTGGGAAGGGGAGGAAGTCTAGAATAGCATTGTATGACAGAGAATCATTCATACAGCTGAAATCATTTAACAAAACAAGCATTTACTAAATACCTATCTAGTACAGGCCACACTCATCTAGTTCCACTTGTTTTACAGATGGAAATAAATTAAGTTATTATAGACAATTTTAGTAAATTGTGTATGTGTAAATATAAAATAAAATTTACAAGTATTTGTATGTATGTAGAAAAGTTCATATATGAAGTAGAGTCTGTAAAACGCTGAACCAAAGTAAGGTCTGTACAATGCTAATGAAGTTTTTTAAAAACAGTATTATTTTATGTTTAAAACAGTAGTGTTTTATGTTTAAAAATTAAAGTCCATCTAAAAAGCATTTTTCCCCCAAAACACATTACTTCTTGAGTCATTCTAAGTTAAATTTGCATTCAAATCCAACAACTCGATTTTTTCTTCAACTCTATTTGGATTACACTTTGGGTAACGATTATGTCACTTCTATCTCTGAATTCTGAGGAGAGAGCGTTTAAAAAATGGGAGCCGATTTCGAGGAAGAGAAGGTGGCCAGGTAGGGGACCCCCGGGCTTGGCTCTGCTTTAAGTCTTGCTCGCCCGTCTCCTCTCCGCAGGGAGGAGGTTTGCTCTGGGTTTTCCAAGGGTATTGCATCGGAAGTTCAATCTCTGACAGGTCCTACCATGCTGGAAACATTTCGTTCGAGGTTCCCAAGACTTGGGGCACAGAGCTGCTTTTTGGGGAGCAGGGGCTCATTTCTCCGCTGGCCACAGCAGCTCTTAAAATACCAAACCAAATCAAACCTCAACTACTCGGGCTTGGAGGGCATTCGGGGGGGGGGGGTCGGTGGACTGCTGGGTACCCAAGCATCCTGGCAGTTTCGGGGGCGTTAGGACCCCTACCAGCTCGCAGGGCAGATAAGAACACATTTTCGGGGTTGTTTACGGCCACAAGTGCTGACCCTCTGGGCCGCGCCGCGGGGATGTGGTCAGCTGGAGGAGAGAAGAGGGAAATGAAGCTACTTTTGAGGTGGCAGCAGAAATAGGGGAGGGGAAAAGGCCTTTCTCCCTCCCCCAGCTCCAGGGAGAATTTATTCGTTCCCCAGGGAAGGGGATCAGCGCGGGAAGGCGGCCTAACAGGGAGAAGGAGTGGCCAAGCCCCCCATCCTACCCCAAGTCCCAGGCAACCAATTAGGGGCGTGGAGGAGGCGGCTGTTTGTTTACATTGCGGCTCTAGTCAGCAGAGGAAAAGAAAAGCGGCGGGGGAGGAGGCCCCAACTGCTGCAAAGACTAACAGCCTCCAAGGGGCTGGAGGGGCGGAGGCCGCCTTCCGGATTCCAACGTTCGCTGCCACCTTCCCCGCTCCTGGCTGCACGGAAGCGCCAGTCCCCTGGGGTGGAGTTGGCGTGGCCCAGATCCTGGGGAAGTCCTCCTCCTCCGAGCAGCACGGCCTAGATCTCCGGAAGCCGGCTGAGAGTGGCGTGGGTGCCCCAAGGGTGGGGTACAGCTTTCCAGGTGCCCGTCGATTGGGCCGAGAATTGGGCTTCCTAGGGTGCCTCGCTTGGCTCACATCACAGGGAAGAGGTCCGGCCACCTAGAGCTCCCAAGCGCTCAGAAGCAACTTGGTGTCTTTGTAGTTTTAAATCTGGCGGGTTTCATCCAATCCTGGCCAACCCCGTGCTCTTGTTACCGTCCCAGCCAATCAGCGCCTGGCCCGCCATTTTTCAAACGCGCCCGCCCCCAATTAGGGCCGAGCTCTTCATTCCTCTCCTGACCGGTTCTAACGGGTCTAGGAGTTAACGACCTGAAAGAGCAACCGAACGTGCTAGGCTCCGGCGAGAGGGCTGCGCGCACTGCGCCGTCGACCAATTGAACGCTGGGGGATTCAGAGGGGCGGTGACCGACGGGATTCGAACAGTCCTCAAGGCCAATCAGAAGAGCCTGGGGGGCGGGGACCGTAACGCGAAGCATCAAGTTGCAGTGGCGGGGAGAACAGTGCAAAACAAGAGGCTGGGCATTGCGTTAGAGATAAACCATTTCGCTGCAGGAGCCCCGGAGTGAGGAGGAAGCGCTGCGCCGCGCACCGTGAGGAACCCGAGGAGTTCCTACAGCAGGCAAGAGTCGGCGCCCCCGTGGAGGGGACCGAGACCCCCCCCGCTTGCTGCCCTCAGAGTCAGGACTCGGGAGTTGCTGACTCCGCCCCGGCTCGGGCGGCTGGCGGGGCCGCGGGGGCACCGGAGTTGCGGAGGGGAAGGCTGGAAGAGGCCACACTGGGGAAGTGGTTGGCCGGAGGCCCCGCTCGAGGGACGCGGAGTCTCGCCGCCCGCGGGACGGAGGCCGTGAAGGGGCTCCACTGTGCGGCCTGGCCGTGGAGACCGCAGTAGCGGGACAGCCGGGGCCCTGCAGCCCAGGGAAGGGTCGCAGGGGAGCGGGGCGGGGCGCGCTGTGTGTTTATCCCGCCGAGGGAGCTCCGCCCCCGGCAGCTGCCGAGAGGGGCGGAGGCTGGGGGGGCACCGAGGTCTGTGAGGCCCAGGTCGGGCCCTGTCGGAAAAGGGAGGCGGGGCCGGGGAGGGGCCCCTCAGGGGCCGGGCCGGCGGTGGGGGGGGGAGCGGAGCCGCGATTTCGGCGGGAAGCGGCTGCGGGGCTGGGCGGGCTCTCCGCGGCTCCGGGCCTGACCTCGCGCCGCCTTACCTTGTCGCCCGAAGGTAGAGAGAAGCGGGTCAGGATGGGTAAAGGAGACCCCAACAAGCCGAGGGGCAAAATGTCCTCCTACGCCTTCTTCGTGCAGACATGCCGGGAGGAGCACAAGAAGAAGCACCCGGACTCCCCAGTAAACTTCGCCGAGTTCTCCAAAAAGTGCTCGGAGAGATGGAAGGTGAGGCGGGGCGGGGGCGGCCGGGGTGGGCCCCGAGCTCTCCGGGCTTGCGTGCTCCTTAGGCGCGTCTACACGGGCCCGGCTGGTAAAACGTGATGACGGCCTGAAATGTTTTGGGAAATGTTGACCAAAGCTAAAACTCCCCCCTTCGTTAGACTGTCTTAAAAATGTTATACATTGCGTTAAAGTGATTTGTCCGATTAAGTGAATTGGTGAAGCTTGTGTTGAAAAGGAACAGGTTAAAATCTTGATGGCATTAATGTGTATTTTTAACGCCGATTGTCTTTAGACCATGTCTGCAAAAGAAAAGTCCAAGTTTGAAGACCTTGCAAAAGGAGATAAAGCTCGCTATGATAGGGAGATGAAAAACTACGTTCCTCCCAAAGGTGATAAGAAAGGAAAGAAAAAGGATCCTAATGCTCCCAAAAGACCACCGTAAGTCGTTTTAACCACTTGAATTTTTCATCAGTCAGTAGTAAATCGAATTCTCTCAATTTAGGGTCGTATTTTTTTGTTTGTCCTTCAGGACATATTTCTTGTACCTTGGCATATGTGATACGTGCTTCATGAAATTAAGTTGAACTTCATTGTTTCAGATCTGCATTCTTCCTCTTCTGTGCTGAACATCGTCCAAAGATCAAAAGTGAGCACCCAGGCCTTTCTATTGGAGATACTGCTAAGAAATTGGGGGAACTGTGGTCTGAACAGTCTGCCAAAGACAAACTGCCTTACGAACAGAAAGTTGCTAAGCTAAAGGAGAAATATGAAAAGGTATAATAAACATCTCTCTTTTTTTTTCCTTACTGGTAAATATACTTAGGAAGTTTTTTATGAATCTAAAAATGCTTTTTATGTGTTTTAGAATAGCCCTTGTAATTGTTAGCCACATTTTCAGGGGGGAAATTCCATCACAATTTTTGGTTACTAGCCAAATGAAGCCTTGCTCTTTAGTTACATGATTGAGTAATGCCACTAGATGCTGAAATCAAAATATATTTATTTTTCAGGATATTGCAGCATATCGTGCCAAGGGCAAGGGAGATGCAGGAAAGAAGGGCCCTGGCAGGCCAACAGGATCTAAGAAGAAGAATGAACCTGATGAGGAGGAAGAAGATGAAGATGAGGAAGATGAGGATGAGGAGGATGATGATGAAGAGTAAATGAATATCCTGCTGTAAAGATTTTTGTGTGTGATGAAAGTCATTGTTTTGCTAAGAATGTGAACTCAAGTGCAGCTCATTGTTAGCTTCAGTATAAAAACTGTACAGACTTGTGTATAGGTAACGTGATTGATTCTTTGTAGGGAGAACCTCTATTTTTTAATGTAAGCAGAAGCTTTTGAGGGGCCACTCCAGATAGATTTTAAAGCTTCTGATGTTGAATGTTTCTGCATATTTAATGGTTTCTTTTGAATTTCTTGACAGTGTATTGTTGTAGTACAGTAAAGGCCTAGGAAGTAGTATCATAGCAAATCTTAAGTTTTATAGAATGTTGCATTTTGTTTTTTTAAGATAAAATATTTTGTAATAAAATGATGTACATTACTATTGTTTATTGTCCTAATTTAACTACTTTTAATTTAGCTGATCAGTCATTTGAACAATAGCATAAAAGTTGTGACCTCGGGCAAGTCACTTACCTCTCTAAGCCTCCAGCTCCCTTATCTGTAAAGTGAAGGGGCCAAAAAAAGTGGTTAAAGTTCCTTCAAGTTCTGTGTTTTTAAAGGGCCCACAATTTCTTGAGCTAGTAGTGTTTTGTTTTTAAAAACTGAAAGAATCTTTTCTCAGCATCTATAATCTTGAACTCAGTTCACCTACAGCTAGAATTTTTTTTTAGATAATTTCCAGCTGAGCTTTTCTTGAGATTAGAGAGAGGCAGAAGTCATTTAAGATGATTGTATATTTATACATTGTGGCCAAAGCATAACATATTTGGGGGAAAAACAAGTGTTAGTATTTAATTGGAATTTGAAATTGTGGGTCAAGTCTAGTACTGGGGAAATACTAGTTTATCAGTTTAAGAAAGCAGTTGTCATGAGTTTAGTCTGGCAACCTTGTATGTTTAAATGAGAGCTGCTAATTGGTTATAAAGTTTCAGAGATTTTTGCAGAATGTGCAATTGGGAAAAAAAAGAATGTGCAATTGAACATAAACTAAAAATTTCAGTTTCTACATAATGCCATTTCCTAAATAGAAGTTAACATTCACATTCCTCACCTTTTTCAGCTTTGGTTATGTGTAGTTTGTAATATGCTGCTAGTATGTTGGATACAAATTCAGGCTTGGTATCTAAAGGGAAACAATTCACCCTGATTATTTGAGTTTTTCCTATAATTCCTTACTCTGAAGTTCAGGTATTTCAGTCAAATAGACAAGGGCTTTAGTTGATTCACATCAGCTGGATTAGATGAGCAGAGGAATTAATTCCTCTTCCCCAACCCAGTTCTTCAGGTTGAAACAGTTCGAAGATCAGTATTATGTTTTCAGTGATGGATGAAATTTAGGTTTATTTGTAAACAGTGTAAAATTGCCTCTTAGAAGCACTTTGGGTGATATTTTCACATTTCCTTACCCTATATTTTTTTCCAGAAATGTGTTAACTGTTGAGACTTTGGAAACTGAATTATTTTGGTGTGAGATTATTTTTGTAGTTTTCCTGTTTTGGTTTTTTCAAAATGATTACAGGTTAGAAACCTATATTTAAGTGTGTGCTGATAATAGGATTTTTTGAAAGCTCATTTTGTTTTGTATCTTAGTGTCATTTACACCAAGTATAGAGTGTAAAAGATTGCATATCATGAAAAAAATACAAATGAAGCATTGTTCTTAGTTCCCACAGGAGTAAGGTTTCTTACTAAAAATATTCTGCACAAAATAGCTGTTTTTGTACATTGTAGAAGCCTAACCCAAACAGGGTCCCAGTTATGCCAGGACTTGAGATATTGCCCATTTGGTCCAATTTTTTATATTTGCTGCTACCTGACTGAATTTCCTGTTAGAGACTTACAGGAACTTTGATATGTTTTAATTTGGTGGAAATTTTATAATGTATAATTGTCTTGCTTCACTTTGGCTACTGAATAGTATCTAAATTTCATAGCATCTTAATTTGTAAAAAGTTCTTGGAATAGGTAAATGAGTAGTATTCATTGCTTTACATCACAATTTCCATAAGGGTTTGTTAGTTTAAATCCCATGTTTTTGCTTCTGATTTGCTGTCATTCTCTTTGGTTGGAAAACCAAAGCATACTGATCTGGAATTTCATGAAATACCCTATTGTGTAAGAGAAAATAGTGCACATAAATTGAAGTTTGTTTAAAAGAATACCAGCAAAATCAACAAACACGATGTGTCTCTACTAACCCAAGAAATTCTCATCACATTCTGCCATCATAAGGTTTTTTCCTCTGCTATAGAAGTCAATAATAATTCCTTCATAAGTTTTATTTCACATTTATAAGTTTAATAAAACTTGATTTGAAATTAATAAAGCCATATATAAGGTATAAATTGGAAAGACGAGAATCTTGAGCTGACCCTAAAGGAGATTAGCCATCTAGCTATCTTGATAATCATATTGGACTGACTTGAGTTAAGCCATCACCATGTGTATAACCTTGAGCATATTTCTTAATCTTGAGCCTCAGTTGGCTCATCTGTCAAATGTGTATGACAGCTTTCTTGCTTAAGTAGGCTAGACCAGATATACTCTTGAGGTCCTGTTTTTTTAAACACCATTGGTGAACAGGCATAACTTTGATTTCCAAGTTAGACTTTCTAGCTCTATAAAACACTGCTCATTGAGTCAATTCATCCCAAATTTAAAATCAAGACGTCTCACTTGATCTGTAATAGTTGCATGCAATTATATTGTGTTACACTTTTTAAAAGTTCACCTTAAGTTTTTACAACCAGATTTCTTATCTAATTGGAGGTTAGCTTTAGTTAGAATTGCATGTATAGGCTTGTGCTCTCCAAATTAAAACCCAGTAAATACATGAAGCATCTGTAATCTCAAGGGATAACTGGTCCCTCAATCACATTGTTTGGTATTAAAGAATTTTCAGTAATATTCTTTGTATCATTTGGGGCCAGAGAGAAGCTACTTTTATGTGCCAGAGTGAGTACCATTGTACCATTTTTTACCTAGTTAGTAACTAGTAAGTTTTGGTGGGTAAAACCACAAAGGTTATACCACCCATTTATAAGCCTATTAGTTATGTAGTCCCTGTTGAGTCCTTGAACTCATTGTTATCCTCATTTTACAATTGAGGAAATGGCCAGACTGCCCAAAATCACAGCTACTAAGGGCAGGATTTGAATTCAGGTATTCCTAACTCTAGAACCAGTGCTTTATCCATTGTGCTACCTAGCTATGTTACTTCCACTCCCATCATAACTCTCAGCATTTCAGTGATTTTGAACTCCCAACTGCCATTAAACATAACTTGTTTCCTGTCCCTTACTGTACGTTCTTTCATTCCCAGTCCCCACAATGTTCCACTGAAGAGCTACCACTCCTTTCACTGTGTTCTGGAATGTTTCTACTCCATAGATAACAAACTTGCTTTCTTCGTAAACTTTTTCCTTTCTCACTTTCTCATCTTTTATTGAGACCTGATTTCCTCCTGATGACATCTGTGGCTGCCCTTTCCAGCACTGGTTGCACGTGTACTCATTACCCTACTCAATTTATGATGGGGAAATTGGAAAACTACTTGCTCCCCATTGCTACTTTCAAATTCTACCTCAGCCACTGGGATACTTCCATTCTGAAGAAATTCAGTGCTTGACTCAGTCTTTCCTCCTTAATTCCTGCCCTCATGCTAAGAACACTTAAACATTGATAAACACCCTAACCTCCCACTTCCTCAATTTATTCATTTCCCATGACATCCCCCCACCTCACTTAAATTGAGGAGATAGTTATGCCCTTGGATCTTGCCATGGACCCATGAATGTTCTACTTCCATGTTCAAGAACTCTGAAATTCTTTTACCTGATTGTAATTTGTGGTCATTTCCCTCTACCTTACAATCTCCATTTCAACTATTCATTCTTACTGTGATTCCAATCCCTCAATGTCTGAGGCCATCACTGTTGTGCTGGTTACACTCTTATCCCTCCTCCATCTTGAGGCTTGGATAAGTCAGTTCAACTTAGTATCCTAGTCTTGAATCCCTTCCTTACCCTGTCATCAATCCTGTCCTGCCATGTCCTTGCCTTTGATGACTCCCACCATCTCCCACCTTGTTATTGAACAAAGTTGAAGGAATCGAAACCGCGCTGAATGTTGTTGCACACTTAACTGGGCTCTCAGTGGCAAGGCGATTTTCACTCCTCTCCATGCATTCACTATCCCACAGCAACTGCTGCACTTTCTCATCTTCAAATGTCCCATAGCTCCCCGGAACTTTGCCTCAAAGTCCACTGAAAAAGGTCATCGGCTGAGAACTTCCCTCCTCTTATGTCACTTATGTTCTTTCACTCTTCCACCCCTTTCTCCCAGGTGACCCTTCTTGCTAAAGCAAAGTTCTAGCCCAAATGATCCTACTCCATCCTTTCTTCTCTAGCAGATGCCCCTTCCACCATTTCCACTCTCTCACCAGTCTTATGATCTGCCTATAGGCTGCTTTTCTGCTGTCTCCTAATGTGCCCATATGTTGTTTTACATCCTCAGAAAGCTCATTGATTCACCTATTCTAAGGGTTTTTTTCTCAGTCCTTTATTTCTTTACCACTTGATGCTAGTGGTCACCTTTTTGTGGATACTCTCCCCTCTAGGCTTTTGTGAGACTTCTCTCCTATGGAATTGCTCCTTCTTGGTCTCCTTTTGCTGGGTCTTCAAAATTGTGTCTGTTAATTATGGGTATTCCTCAAGGATCTGTCTTGGGCCCTCTTCTCTACATTATTTTGCTAGATGATCTCATCAGTTCTAATGGACTCAACTACTATCTCTATGCAGAAGATTTTCAGATCCATTTATTTATCCAGCCCTTACCTTTTTCCTGACTTCCACTGTCAAATCTTCAACTTCCTATTATTGGATATCTGGAACTCAAGGTCCCCTGTCCGATTTTAAAAAAAAATCTGGCCCCTTCCTACCTTTCTAGTCATCTCACTAATTGTTATTCCTTCACCTCCATGTCTTTTGTGATCCAAGTTGTCCTGTATCTACCTTGTTCGTACTTGTTTGCATGTTGTCTCCCTAATTAGATTGTGAGCACCTTGGCTGAGAGAGGGAGGGGAGAGAGTGGAGGGACTTTTTGCCTTTGATTCCCCAGTGCTTAAAACTGCCTGCTTGTTTATTTGATTACTAAATTCTTCTGTTTGATTTCTTTATCATCGTCATGAAGTTTTTGGCTTGTCAGTGTGATTAAATGCTAAAATAAGCTATGAAGGGAAGTTGTGAAATCAACCCCTGGAAATGTTGTTGTCCCTGTCGTGTTCCCCCCCAACCCCGCCTAGTAGCCATTTGTCTTATATTGAACCATAGGCAAACTCAAGGTCCCCTTCCAGGCCAGTAATCATCTAAGTCCAAAGATCTGCTATTTCATCAGTGTGGACATTTCCTTCAACTAAACAACTCCCAACTACAGAAAAACAATGTGAGTTTTCCAAGCATGTGCAGTGTTATTCCACTGTCTGAAACAAAATTATTATAAATGTACTACATTTTGTACTCCCAAAAGGAAATTTTATCTGCCCTGATTATGTTCTAGATGGCAAAATCAAATATTTCCATTTTGAAAAAATATTAAGTTTTTATATTTAGAAAAATTGTGACTTCAAAAATACCACAAATTAAAATACAATATTTTTATTTTTCTCACCTAAAAAATGAGCAACCCAGAATTAAGATGTACATAAGCTTCCCAAATTTACCCCTAATAAAACTTTTGAATATTTATACAATTTCTACAGAAACATACAGTGTATCAAAATCTGCATAAATCAAATTTATAAAATATGTAGAAATGCATAGTGATATTATCAACTTACAAAGCAAGGATATGGGAATTATTTCCAAAGCAGCCTAAAGTAGAAAAGTTATTACTGCAACAGTTTCTGATGGTTTTGTTTTGTAAAGTTTGCAGTTGCAGGATATAGAATCATACTCACAGAGTGTCAGATTCTAATGAACTGAACAAAATACCCATTTAGAATACATTTGCACAGTCTGTGCCACCTTTCTTATGCCTATGCATAGTTAGCACGATTATAATCTACTTAACATGGAAAATGGAGTCATTTTTCATATAACAAGCAATGAAACTACCCACATTCTTTAGTTTATCCCAGCAAGCTTCCCTTAGATTGAGTTTAGAATTTATATAAAATACCCTTAAAAGGAATGAAAGTTGAAATGCTTCAAGATCCCCAATCAGTAGCAAAATACAATGACAAAATACGGCTTTATAAATAAGTATGCTGCTTGGGATGTTTAACATTAGTTGATCTTCAAAAATTAGGCAATAATCTCAAAATCAGCTAACTGTAAGAATCAATATGTAAATAATGTTCTTAAAGCTCTGAAGATTGTTTCCTTTGTCAGTGTGGATTCTAAAGCCCTTTCACTAAGTATTAGCATGCTCAGAGTGAAAGTCCAATTTGCTTTTTACTATGAATCTTATTTGTTCTTTGTACTTTTGGACAATGGAGTTTTTAGAAACAAAAAGCAGACCAATTTTAGTATTAGGTCCTCTCAATAACACGGGGTGAGGGGAAGGAAGTAAGGAAGGAAGGAACAAAAACATCTAAAATAAAAGTACCTTTTATTGTTATGGGAAAAATAATTAGCAAAGACAATGAGCCTAAAGAAGTTCAGAATTTGAAAAAATACTAATAAAAGAAACCTAATGCCCAAGTATATAGTAGAATGTTTGCTGAACTTGTTTTAACGTGGCTGATATTTTTAATATCATCTTGAACATTTCTTTATGTTAAAGAAAAGTTCAGTTTATTCAAGTGAATTTCATCTAGAACAAAGGTATAAATAGAGAGTTAGATCATTCTTGGCTTCATGAGTTGTATAGTTTTTAGTTTATGATATATAGCAATTACGTAAGGCTCGATCTAACAAGTACTTGGAAATTTCTAGCTGTAATTCTGAAGAAGCTTTTGAAAAATTTAACTTCATATTTTTGGGGGGAGGAAAATTCAAATCTGAGAAATGTTTACATTTCTTTAAACGTACCTGGAGCTCCAGGCATACCAAACCCCAAATGTCATTCAAGAGACATTTTTTCATTTCATAGTCTTTTCTTGTTTTTAAATTTTAGGGCTCGGTGGTGACACACAGGTTCCAGCAATGCCAGCAGATAAGAGATTTAATGCCACAAAATCTTGACACACCATAAAGTACCCTTGGGGTGGTCTGTGCCTTCCATTAACATAAGCTATATAACATTCAAAAGTTGGTTGCAAGTGGTAGCACATAAGTTTCTGGGTGGGAAAAGTTATCCTTAAATAGCTGACAATTCCAACATAACCATACTATAAATTTCCTCAGATGCTCTTGAAAAATATACTGAGAAATGAAGGAGGAGGCACTAAATGTGTTGAAATTCACCTTTCAAAAAAGCAGCATGATTGTGGAGGAAGGCCACCCTGGCTAATGACCTGTGGCAGTGCTTGAAAAAGATGTAAAATTAAATAAAGATACAACAGGTTGACAATCACCAAGTGATACATTAAAGTCTGGTTACTCCAACCCTTTTTCAAGTGTGTTTAAAAACAACAACAACAACAACAACAACAAAAAACTGCCTTCAGACCCCTGAGTGCAATCCCGAAGAAGGTAACAAACAATGCCTCCAGCTCTGTTCCTAGTCCACAGAGTTGAGAGGTGCACAAATTACCAACATTATCTTAAAACAAACAAACACAAAGATGTAAACGTCTACAAAGTTTTAAGGTAAAAGCAGTTTTGTAAACAGTAACTGCAGATGATAATGCTATCATACTATCACAGTTCATCTGTGTCCTTCAAACATCAGGAGGTTCCAGATTTGGAGCTGTACAAAGTGAGGAGCTGCAGCAGGTTTCAGGCTATTTTCAGTCCTGTACAAATTAATGTGTCAGTAGGTAGGTTATTAGTTTGTTTTATTCTGTTCTAAACATTAAGGATGTTGTTCATTTCCCATTTTTGCGTGGCTTTATTGGAGTCACACTCAGAGAGAAACACTTGATGTAGAACTGGTGAGCGATCTAAGCACTTTCCTGAAGGAATGTGGGTAAATCTGTGTAGATTCTAGGGGAGAAAAACAGGCAATAAATAAATTTACATTTAGATTTTTTTGAGTCAACAAACTTTTTTAACGGCCAGGTGTGGTGGCACAGTCTTGAAATCTCTGTTATCAAAGAGGCTGAAGGGGGTGTGTGTGGGGTGTGTGTGTGTATCTATAGATTCTAGGTCTTTCCTGGTCCCTCCAGCTATTAATGCCTTGCTGTTTAAGATTACCTTCCCTCTACACTATGTATGTGTGTATATATATATATATATATATATATACACACATGTATAAACATATATCATATATATCTTAGATATGGCCATTTGTAGATATTATATACACATTTATCTAGATCTAGCTATATGTAGACACATATATTTATGTACTTATACATATATATGAATATATACACATGTGTATATATACACACATATGAATATATACACAGAGTAGAGAGAAGGTAATCTCAAAGGGCGAGGGCACTAGCAGCTAAGGACATTGGGAAACACTTGTAGAATGTGAGATTTGAGCTGAATCTTCAAGGACAGCAGAAAAGCTAAGAGGTCTTAATCCTAAAGAAGGGCAATGCCAAGGAATGTTTATTAAACAGTTGTGCTCATTTCACATGCCAGCAAGATTGTGCTTAAGATTCTGCAAGCTAAGGCTTCAGCAAGATAACTAACACTAAAAGTTCACAAAAGACAAGGTACTATATGGCTTTGTGTAAATAGGCAGTTAGGCTAAGGCAGACAGTTTGGAAAAAAAAAAGAATCACAAGTTGTGAGTTATATCCTTTTATGCCTAGCAACTATTGATAACTTGGTTTGCTTTCCTGGTTATGGCACCCTGGCCCAGACCAAAGCATCAGTAGTTGCTAGAAATAAAAGGATATAATTCACAAAGTTGTGATTTATGTGTGTGTGTGTAGGTAATGAACAGATTTAAGGGATTAAATCTGGTAGACAGACTGCCTGAAGAACAATGGAAGGAGGTTTGCAATATTGTATAGGAGGCAGCAGCAAAATAACATTCCAGAGGAAAAAAACAGGAAAGAAAAATGACTATCTGATGAGGCTTTAAAATAACTGAGGAAAGAAGGAAATCAAAAGGGAAAGTAGAAAGGGAAAGATACACAACTGAATGTAGAATTCCAAAGAGTAGCAAAGACAGATAAGGTTTTCTTAAATGAGCAATGCAAAGAAATAGAATAAAATAACAGAATGGCAAAGACAAGAGATCTCTTTAAGAAAATTAGAGATATCAAGAACATATCATGTAAAAATGGGCATGATAAAAGACAAAAAATGAGGGGCGGAGCCAAGACAGCAGAGTAAAAGCAGTGACTCGCTTGAGCTCTTCCTCAAACCCCTCTAAATACCTGTACAAAATGACTCTAAACAAATTCTAGAGCAGCAGAACCCACAAGAAGACCGAGGGAAACAAATTTCCAGCCCAAGACAACCTGGATGGTTGACAAGAAAGGTCTGTTGCGTTGGGCTATGAGAGAAGCATAGTTCAGTGTGGACCACGCCAGCAAAGAAGGGAGAAGGTCTCAGAGGACTGAATTAAGGGGGTGCTGCAGTGGTTTCCAGACTTCTTAACCCACAAATGCCAGAAACAACTCAGAAGGTCAGTGAGAAAGGTCTGTAGGACCTGGGTGAGAGGAGTGGTCCAGCACTCACCCTAGTGCAGCCCCGGGGCCGCAGTCACATTGGTAGCAGATGCTTCTGGAGCTCTCGGCCCACAGACAGTAGGGAGGGATCGAGTAGCTGATCAGAGGGGGGATTACAGGGATCTCTTTGCTGGCACTGAGGTAGGATTCTCTCGTTTTGCCTGTGCTTGGATCTGGGTCACAGTCCTGGGAGGTGGTTGTGGGGCAAGGAGAGCTGGTATGGCGAAACTTGTGGCAGCAGCAGAGAGAAAATCCTCCTCCCAGTTCCAAGGCAGAAAAGAGTGCTTGTGGTCACTCACAGACCACAGCACAGACCAGAAGAGGAATAAACACCTCTCCTTTGATCATACCACCATGGAGGAACTGAAAACTTATAGGTCCCTAGAAGTACCTTTGAAAACAGCTGCACAAAACCCTGAAGCTTGGGACAGTACACCCTCTACACTGGAAGCAGAGCCCTACCTTAATAAAGAGTTTAAAAGTCAAGTAATTGGCCACGAACATGAACAAATGTTGTAAAAAAAAACCCCTTAGACTATAGAATCTTACTTTGGTGACAAAAAAGATCAAAACATACAACCAGAAGAAGACAACAAAGTCAAAGCTCCTACATCCAAAGTCCCCAAGAAAAATATGAACTGGTCTTAGGCCATGGAAGAGCTCAAAAAAGGATTTTGAAAATCAAGTAAGAGAAGTAGAGGAAAAATTGGGAAGAGAAATGAAAAGTAATGCAGCTTGCTAAAGGAGACCTGAAGAAAATAACACCTTAAAAAATAGATTAGGGGCAGCTAGGTGGTGCAGTGGATAGAGTTCCAGCCTTGGAGTCAGGAGGACCTGAGTTCAAATACAGCCTTAGACACTTGACACTTACTAGCTGTGTGACCCTGGGCAAGTCACTTAACCCCAATTGCCTCAGCAAAAAAAAAAAAAAAATTAACCGAAATGACAAAAGAGGTCTAAAAAGCCCACGTGAAGAATTCCTTAAAAAGCAGAATTGGCCAAATGGAAAAGGAAGTCCAAAAGCTCACTGAAGAAAATAATTCCTTAAAAATTAGAATGGAGCAAATAGAAGCTAATCACTCTTTGAGAAATCAAGAAATTATAAAACAAAACCAAAAGAATGAAAAGACAGAAGACAATGTGAAATATCTCACGGGAAAAACAACTGACCTGGAAAATAAATCCAGGAGAGGTAATTTAAAAATTATTGGACTATCTGAAAACCATGAGCAAAAAAAAAAAAGCCTAGACATCATCTTTCAATAAATTTTCAAGGAAAACTGCCCTGATATTTTAGAACCACAGGGCAAAATAGAAATTGAAAGAATTCACTGATCACCTCCTGAAAGAGACACCCAAAGGAAAACTCCTAGGAATATTGTAGCCAAATTCCAGAGTTCCCAGGTCAAGGAGAAAACATTGGAAACAGCCAGAAAGAAACAATTCAAGTATTGTGGAAACACAATCAGGATAACATAAGATTTAGCAGCTTCTGCATTAAGGGATCGAAGGGCTTGGAATATGATATTCTGGAGGTCAAAGGAGCTAGGATTAAAACCAAGAATCACCTATCTAGCAAAACTTAGTATAATCTTTCAGGGGAAAAAATGGAATAGAGGACTTTCAAGCATTCTTGATGAAAAGTTCAGAGCTGAATAGAAAATTTGACTTTCAAATACAAGACTGAAAAGAAGCATGAGAAGGTAAACCAGAAAGAGAAATCATAAGGGACTTATTAAAGTTGAACTGTTTACATTCCTACATGGAAAGATGATATTTATAACTCATTAGACCTTTCTCAGTATTAGGGTAGTTGGAGGGAATATATATATATATGTGTGTGTGTGTCTGTGTGTATACATATATAGATATGTATACACACACACACACATATATATTATATATATAATGCCATAAATAAACAATCAAAATAAATGTACACAAGAAAAAAAAAAGACAAAAAGTGGTCAGGACTTAACAGAAGCAGAAGAGATTAAGAAGCGGTGGCAAGAATATACAGAAGAACTATTCAAGAAAGATCTTAACATCATCAATAATCATGGTGTGCTTAACTGATCTAGAGCCAAACATCCTAGCTAATGACATCAAGTGGGCCTCTGGAAGCACTGCTAATGACAAGGCTAGTGGAGGTGATGGAATTCCAGGTGAGTTATTTAAAAACCTAAAAGATGAGGCTGTTAACCAACAAATTTGGTAAACAAAACACTGCACTAGAAAAGATTAATTTATGTCCCAATCTTAAAGAAGGGCAATGCCAAGCAATGTTCAAATTACTGAATAATTGTGCTCATTTCACATGCCAGCAAGGTTATGCTTAAGATTCTGCAAACTAGGGTTCAGCAATATGTGAACTGAGAATGACCCAAAGAGTGGGCTGCTCAAAGAGGCAGAGGAAATAGAGATCATAGTACTAACATTTGCTGGATTATGGAGAAAGCAAGGGAGTTCTAGAAAAAAAAAACTATTTCTGCTTCATTGATTATACTAAAGCCTTTGTGTGGATCACAACAAATTGGGGCAAATCCTCAAAGAAAAGGGAGTACCAGATCACCTTACTTGTCTCCTGAGGAACCTGTATCTGGGTCAAGAAGAACAGTTAGACATAGAACAACTGATTGGTTTAAGATTGGGTAAGGAATAAAACAAGGCTATATAGTGTTACCTTATTTACTTATATGCAGAGTACATTATGTGAAATGCCAGGCTGGATGAATCTAAAGCCAGAATAAAGCAATCTCAGATATGCAGATGATACCACTCTGATGGCAGAAAGTAAAGAGGAATTAAGAAGCCTTTTGATGAGGCAAATGTAAAAGCCTGTTTGAAGCTTAACATAAAAAATCCCCAAGATCTTAGCACTGGTCCCATCACTTCCTGGCAAAGAGAGGAAGAAGAAATAGAAGCATTGTCAGATTTTATATTCTCGGGCTCAAAGATCATGGCAGATGGTGGCTGCAGTTATGAAATTAAAAGATGCTGCTCCATGGAAGGAAAGCTATGGCAAATCCAGACAGCATACTAAAAAAGCAGAGATATCACCTTGCCAACAAAAGTCCATATAGTCAAAGCTATGGTTTTTCCAGTAGCAATGTACAGAAATGCTGGATGCTGCAGAATCGATGCTTTTGAATTGTGGTGCTAGAGAAGACTTTTGAGAGTCCCTTGGACAGCAAGGAGATCAAATCAGTCGATACTTAAATTAATTCAGGCTATTACACTGTAAGGTCAAATACTTAGATACTTTGGCCAAATAATGAGAAGATGGGTTTCAATGGAAAGGACCCTGATGTTGGGAAAGATTGAAGGCAAAAGGAAAAAAGGGATGGCAGAGGATGAGATGGATAGTGTCATGGAAGCAATGAACATAAACTTGGATAGATTTTGAGAGATAATGGAGGATAGAAGGGCCTGATGTACTATAGTTCATGGCATCATGAAGAGTCAGACACAACTAAATGAACAATAAATGATAACATTAATTCTAATACCTTCTGTTCTTTTTTGTTAAATGTCCACCTAGATATTCAAAAAGGGTTTTTAAACAAACACTTTAAAAATTCCCTTTTGTCCATCTCTGAATGTTTGCTTGTATGGTTTCCAATCGGTTTCTGTCTAATGTGATGGATGGAGTTCAGCTATTTGGTTGATGGGTTACATAAGTTCCATGGGCTGGCTTTCTTTCTTTCTTTCTTTCTTTCTTTCTTTCTTTCTTTCTTTCTCTTTCTCTCTCTCTCTTTCTTTTCTTTCTTTCTTTCTTTCTTTTTCTCTCTCTCTCTTTCTCTTTCTTTCTTTCTTTCTTTCTTTCTTTCTTTCTTTCTCTCTCTTTTTCTTTTCTTTTCTTCCTTCCTTCCTTCCTTCCTTCCTTCCTTCCTTCCTTCCTTCCTTCCTTCCTTCCTTCCTTCCTTCCTTCCTTCCTTCCTTCCTTCCTTCCTTCCTTCCTTCCTTCCTTCCTTCCTTCCTTTCTCTCTTTCTTTCTTTCTCTCTTTCTCTCTCTTTCCTTTCTCTCTCTCTCTCTCTCTCTCTCTCTCTCTCTCTCTCTCTCTCTCTCTCTCTCTCCCTCCCTCCCTCCCTCTCTCTCTCTCTCTTTCTCTCTCTCTCTCTCTGACTTACTGCCTTTACTGGCTTTCTTATATGTCTACTTTTTCTTGCTGTTATTCCATACTTTTCTCTGAAACAAAATTCTTCTTTCTTTCATGTTTGTCTTGAGCTGTCATTTTTATGTTTTGCAAAATATATCCCGAATTGTCACAAAGTTGGGAAAATGTATGTAGTCATCACTACCATGAGAATGGTCATTTTTGAAAGATGTTAACTCAAATGTCCATGTTTAGGTCACATCAGTGAGGCTTTCAAGGCAAACGAATGCTTATACAGCAGATCTGACACTGAAACATCTAGTATATACCAGATGAATAAATGAAGCCTTAGCGTTTCTAGTTACTTGGAAACTTTCCCATCTGGTTGCTCTACACAAACTGCATTATATTAGCTATGTCTAGACTGTAAGAGTTGTACACAAATATTCTACTGTGTTAGGCACATGTAGACTTTCAATATTCAAAATCTAAAAAAAGTAATAGCATCATCTGTAATAGAAACAATTGCCCAACAAAGAGTGGGATACCCAACCTTAACATAAGAAGCAAGCTAACTGGCTTGTAAAAGCCAGGTAAAAGAGGCAAAGCTCACAGTGCCAAATTCCTAACTTCTATCTCCACCTGCTGGAAGACAAGAAGCATAAGCCAAGTGTGTGAGAGTGTGTATATGTGCACGCAAATACTATTATACAGAAAAAAACACATTTTCTGATAATTAGTACCCCATTCTTATTTCTAAAACCAAATTTATTTATCTATGTGACCAGAATGAATGTAAAAAGGAGTCTTGATATACTAGTCACGTGAAAAGTGGTGCTGGAATTCTAATGGGAATGATGTTCTCAACAAATGGGACAGAATCATGTCAGGCAGTAAGTTAACTATACAAGTATACAATAGACAACCACCTAAAGTTTTGGAAAGGCTATGTAAATGGCTAATTAAAGGGAAATGGTAGCATGTTTTTAACTCACAGACGTGGGAATGTGGTTTGGGGGCTAGTTAAATATAGATTAACCAAATATAACAAGAGTTAAAAATAAATTCTGAGAAATGGTGATATTAACATATTAAATATTTAAGGGAATGAAATAAGAAAAAGCTATGTTTGCTTTCAGAAGATGGAATGTGAAATACCTTGAAGTATTGCCATTCGTTGTATTCATTTAGACTACAATGTGTAATCATGATTTTTGATCCATCAGATCCCTTTGTCAAACATTGGTCATACTGCATGAGTTGATTTGCTTCATTGATTCTGAAAAGCTAATAGCAAACAAGAAAAGAAAATGAAACCTTCCCCAGTAATTCCCCTCCCCACACTCCTTTTTTAAACTGATGCCAAGTCAATGACCTACAGTTTCCTAAATTCAGGAATTTATGAGGGCAGATCAGAAGCCACCTTTAACTCCTGAATTTAAGTGGTTTTGCCTTCAGTCAGTTAGCTAACTAAATATATGAATTAGGATTTGAATTCAGGTTTCCCTGTGCAGGATTTGGAAGAATGAGACCTGGGGTTCAAATTCTACCCGTGACCTTGGATAAGTCTTTCTTTATTTGTAAAATGAAGAGATCACATTAGTTGATCTCTAAGGTACAATGTTGTTCTAAATCTATGATCTTATCATGCTATAACTCTTAATAATAATAACATTAATGATATGTAGCACTTTAAGGTTTGCAAAGTAAATTATGTATATTATCTCATTTTATTCATATAACATTATCTACTATGCTGTGCTACTATATGACATAATTTTTTTTTAATTACTAAAGGAATTAAGTTTTTCTGAGAAAAAAAATCCCTTTGCATTTCTATGCATGTCCAAGAGTACAAGGTGCACGCAGTCAGGGATTGTATACTAAAAGTTCATTACTTTACTAGAGAGGCTGTGTGGTGTGGTGGACACAGCGCTACCCAAGAAACCAGGAAGACAAGTTTAATCCTGCATATTCAGCCTTTGAAAATAAGAAAAAAAGTTACTAAAACTTATTTATTGTGTAAGAGTCTAAAGTTAGGGACAAGTTTATATGTTGAAATGAGAATATATTGAGGGAGGTCAGAGAATAAATTATTGGATTGCTCCTATGGAAATGGGTTTTGCAAGACTTCACATGTATAATTGACATATTGCAAGACTTCACATATATAACTGATATATATGTCTTCTCAATGGGTAGGGATAGTAGAGAGGGAGAGAATTTGGAAATAAAAATTTTTTTAAATAAATTAGAGTTTTTAAAAAAAGATAATTGGGAAATAGCTAATGAACTGAATAAAAATACAATTAAAAAAATAAGCATTTGTTTGCCTTTAAAGCCTCACTGATGTGACCTAAACATGGACATTTGAGTTAACATCTTTCTGCCAAGGTTACATACAACCTAAGCAGTGGAAATCTATAGTTATAGAACAGCACACTGTAATAAATGTCAAACTTCAGTCTCTAATATCTGATACTATTAGCACCCTCCCCACCTAACAGTGTTTGGTCAACACATTTTCATAGATAACTTTTTAGTTGCCAAAGAACTCCATGATCAGTTATCTTAGTCTTTGTCAATCCAGACTAGAACTAAAAAGTGATATGAATTACCTGATTTCCTCCCATCCGATGACAAGGTCCTAGTTCCACAAAGCCACCATTTGCATGCCCCATGCTATCAATGCAATGTGCAGTTTCAACCCCTCTGATCTGGAAAAGAAAGATGCTATATTAGTATTTAGTTTTCTTTACTCTCATACCATGAGTTCAAAGCCTTTATGTTTAAAAGCTACTGCTGTAAACTCAATTTACATACAGAGGCTTGGAGATGCATACTCTAAGAAGGCAGTTCCTAAGGAAACAAAATGGCAGTCCTCTCAAAACTTGAGAATGTGGCATTGAAGAAATGGCTTTAATATTAAGTTTTCAAATGGTCTACAGTTTGCAAAGTTAAAGGCTAGAATGTATATATAGGATCAGAGATTTGGAGATGGATGGAGGCCATCCCCCCTCATTATATAGATAAGAGACTTCACCACTTGTCCAAGTTCTTACTTGGTAACAGATAAAAGAGCCAAGATTTGAACTCAACTTTCTGATTTCAGATTCAGCACTGAACTGCAGCATGTAATAGGTCTAAAAAATTGGTCCAAAAAGGGAAGGAAATGAACAAGCATTTATTAAATGCCTACTGTGTGGCAGACACTGTGCTAAGCACTTAGCAAATATCTCATTTAATCCTCACAGCAACCTTGGGGAGGTAGATACTATTATTATCCTTACTTGAAGCATGAGGAAATTCTTGTTTGCATGTTGTCTCACCCCTTAGACTGTAAGTTTCTTGAGGCAGTCTTTTGCCTCCTTGTGTATCCCTAGCACTTAGCGTAGTACCCAGTACATAGTAGGCACTTAATAAATGTTTATTAATTGACTATGGAAGACAGGGCATAAGTAACTTGACCACAAACAGTCACACAGTTCATAAAGTGTCTGAGTCCAAATCTGAACTTAGGTCTTTCTGACTCCAGGCCCAGAGTTCTACCTACTGCATGACCTCTAGTTACTTCTAAAAGGGGACAAAGAAGAGGGGCATTTACCATGGAAAGTTTTAGAACCATTAGAGCAAAAGCTATAACATTATAGTAAACCCTTCACACAATAACTTTGTTAATCAAATCTTGTGAATTTGCTATAAATGAAATTGTTGGTGCTGCAGTCATTTTAGTAGTGTCCAACTTTTTCGTGACCGCATTTAGGGTTGTTTTTTTTTTTAAGCAAAGATACTGGAGTGATTTCCCATTTCCTTCTCTAGCTTATTTTACAGATGAGGAAACTGAAGCAAATAGGGTTAAGTGACTAGCTCAGGTCACAAAACTATTTCCCCACTAGACTAGTAAATGTCTGAGTTCAGAATTGAACTCAGTAAAATGAGTACTCCTGACTTCAGTTCGAAAGTTCTATCCACTTCACTACCTAGCTGCCTCATAACTGAAAAAGGGTTGACTAAAAGAAGTACGTATTATTAAGGCCTTTTGTTTTTATATCATAGTCATTTCTTTATATCTTCCTCCTTCCCTCTCAGAAACAGACTCTCCCTTAAAACAAAGAAAAACAGGGGCAGCTAGGTGGTGCAGTGGATACAGCACCAGCCCTGGAGTCAGGAGGACCTGAGTTCAAACCCAGCCTCAAACACTTAATACTTACTAGCTGTGACTCCTGGCAAGTCACTTACCCCCAACTGCCTCCCCCCACCCCCAGACACAAAGAAAAACAGATGAGAAAAAAAAAAACAACTCTAAAAAAAAACCCAATTGCATACAACATTCAACTTCTAGACGTCCCCCTACCTTTCTGCCAAGAACAGGGCATTCTGTTTTCCAAGACCATTCATGGTTTTTTAGTTCTCAAGACTTAGGTGTCCTTTTAGGCATCTTTTCATTTACATTTTTGTAGCTGCGATGTACGTTATTCTTTTGGCCTTACCTATTTTGCTCTGCATTAGTTCATAGAAATCTTCCCATATTTCTATGAATTCCTCAAATTCATGATCTGTAACTCCACAGTAGTATTTCATTATGTTAATAGACAATAATTTTTTCCTGGTTCTTTGCTCCACAAAAAGTGCTGCTATGAATATTTTGGCATATGTTTGGACCTTTACTTTTTCTGCTTTGAGCTCCTTGGGGAACATGTTCAGTAGTAGGATTGTGGGATTAAAGAGTATGACTCCAAATTGTTTATTCAGTATGATTGGACCAATTCACTATATTCCTGCCTTCCCAACACATTGACTTATTATTTTTTGTCATCCTTCCCACTGTGCAGGTTGTGAAGCGAAGAGGCAGATTTTTTAAAAAATTTGCCTTCTCTTATAATTCCTGAGCATGTTTTCACATAGTCTTACACAATGTGCAATTCTGGGGCGAAACTTCACATTTTTGGACCACTTAGCTAAGGATTCTTGGCCTTTTATTATAATTTCCTAAAGAGTAATTTTTCCCTATCTCAACTAGGCTAGATGTACAAGGGCTACTAAGTGGTCTGATCCCACTAATGATCAGTCTGGGAAGTTTGATCTGCTCCATCACTAACCTGGGCTGGTTTATCCCTCCTTAGGTAAACCTATCCCTCCTTTTCTTGCCTGCCTCTGTTGATGCTGGAGTCACCATATTGATGCTAGACTTAGTGTAGACACACAAATGATCTAGCTTACTGGAGTCACCATATTGATGCTAGACTTAGTGTAGACACACAAATGACCTAGCCTACTGAGGCTCAGAACCCCTGAGCTCAAGATAACCACCTCAAGTAGTAAGGAATACAGGTGGGTATCACCATGCTTTTGATTTGATACAAGACTATTTCCCCACTAGACAGTTTCTCTTCATATTTTATCTGCATTTATTTTGTTTGTACAAAAGCTTTAAATTGCCTGTTTTGTCTTCTATGATCATCTCTGTGTTTGGTTAAGACTTCTTCCTGTACTCATAGTTGTGAAAGATAACTCCGATTTTCCTTGAAGTTGTGTGTGTGTGTGTGTGTGTTTGCATGTATGATGGGATCTCATATTCAGGTTATAATTCATGATTATTCAATATATACATACCACAAAGAGGCTGGTCTAATTTCTTCTTTCTAATTTTCAGGGGTTCTTGTCAAATAGAGAGTCCCTACCTAAGTAAGTTCTTGAGTTTGTGAAAGAGTGGGCTGCTGTTTTTGATTTGTTTCTGGTTCTCCCTTATCTAACGAGTTTAACTGTTTAATTTTTCTATTTTTTTTTAAACCCAGTACTAAATAGTTTGCTGATCATTGCTTTCTCATATAATTTGAGGTCTGATAATGCTATTCACCTCTTCATTCCTACTTTTTTAATTACTTCTCTTCAGATCTGAGACCTTTTGTTCTGCAAAATGAATTATTATTTTGTAATATGTTATATTATTTTATATAAAATATATTTGTATATACATAATATAATACTCACATATAATACATAATTATTGTATAATTCCATAAAACAGTCCTGTGGTAGTTTGACTGGCATAATGCTAAGTGTAAATTAATTTAGGCAGTATTGAATAGGGTTGACTTTGCAAGGCACACTCCTTAGAGGCTCATTAGTATGTCTTTGATTCATGTAGCTACTATCAGGCAGTGCATTTAGTTATGGAATACACAGGCCGGGCAACTGGGCTTTTTTCTAGGTGGAGAATTAGGGACAGGGACTTTACCTGTGTGATTTCATTATTATGGAGAACTGGAGTTCCTCCACCAACACTCGTCAGAATCTGTTCTGTAAATTAGTCTTAAAGTGCTTATCTGGCTAATTAATGTGCCTGGGGTCACACCAACATAATGGGTCCTAAGTGAGTCTTAAACCCAGGTGTTCCTACCTTCTGGTCTGGCTCTCTATCTATTATACTTCTTGCCTCAGGTTGCAAATTACATATATAGACTATTATTGAAAGTTCAACATACCATGTATGTTAAATAAACTTAGGAAAGGCTTTTGCTTTGAAGATTCCTGAGTCATCAAAGAGAACCCCAGAGAAGTCACAGAAATTCAAGGTTATCTATATCTGTGCTAGAAAAGGCAATGCCACCTACCTCTGATCTGAAAATGAGCTGAGAGGAAGAAAGGCATTCCTTACACAGGAAGGAGCTTGCTTGGCAGCTCCAGAAGGGAATAGAGACTTTGCATTAGGGAAACATCAAGAGTCTGCTTCATGTCAGCCAATGGAAAGGACTGCTGATGGCCTATAAGTAATAAGATGGCACCTGACATTTAAACTATTTGGCTATTAGAGACTAAACTTGTATTTTAGCTTTGAATCAAAGGCGACAAAGTCCAGATTTACTGGAAGGTCCAACCAGACTATGACAACTGTGAACGTGACTCAAAAATAATCAACAAGAGAGAACAAGTTAGGATAGGGCTTGATGGGGTTATAAAATTAGGGATGAGGAAAATGGGGGCTAGAGAGCTTAAGCAGTTTGTCTAATGACACACAGGTATTAAGTGGTCTGGGTCCAGAAGCCCAGAGATCTTTAGGTAGGGAAAAGGAGACAACTATCTGCAAGGTTAGTGTAGGAAGACCTGAATCCTAGTGCAAAGTCTTTGGGGCCCACATAGGGAAGTATATGTGTGTGTATCTATATGTATATCTCTTTTTATATATCTATTTTTGACCAAACAATTGCTAACTTCTTCCACCAGCAGGCTCATGATACCACATATAGTAATATTACATAAGAGAGGAGGGAGGTATCTTTCTCAGAAAGAGTGATTTTCTAAAATTTCCCTATCAGTACACATAGAAAAGAGAAAAACACTCGGAATACACACGTGTGTATATATACACACACAATACATGCATTTCCATATGTGTGTATATACATATATACATATATATGTATACTCACATATATGTATGTATCTATATCCATGATTACCAAATAATTGTTAACTCCGATAATGGCAGGGTCACAATACCATATATGGTTATTTGGGAAAACAAATTATTAGCGCATATTTTCTCCTCTCTATAATTCACGAAATCTTATTTCCAATGGTTCATTAAGGCAAGGAAGTGACCCTCCATTTTTAAAGGCTCAGGGGAGTGAAAGTTCTGATAGGTTCCTCCCATCTGCAAAGGGTTCCAATATGGTCCTGGAAATGGACCATGTCTGCTTTCTGAGGACTAGCCTAGCTAAGACTTAGAGAGAGTTGGCATTAGTTGGCATCTTGGCGATGAATTTTTTGGCTGTGGCAATTCATGGAATAATATGTCTGTGCTGGTCCCTTGCTCTATCTGCAGTGATACGGTACAGGGGATACTAACAATCACGGTTTTTGAAACTCTAAAAGGTGAAATCCCTGCCCAATGACCCCTAACCGGGCATTCTACAGGAAAGACTGGATCTTGTCACTACTGACATTCTTGATTTAAACAGAAGGAAGGGGCAGCTACTAAATGAAAGAATGATTCACAGGTTCTCTAGATGATTTTGGCTGGTGAACTCATCAATTCCCAAGAATTCAATTATCATCTTTATGCCGATGAGTCCTAGATCAATTCATCCAGCCCTAACCTCTCTCCTGACATGCTGGTTTGTATCTCCAACAGCCTAGTAGGCATTTCAAACTGGATGTTCCATAGATGTCTTAAACTCAACGTGTCCAAAACTGAACTCACTATCTTTCTCCCCCAAACTTTCCTTTCTTCTTAGCTTCCTGCTTTTATTTGTAACCTTTTGCGCCTGGCACATAAGGAGTACTTAAAAATGCTTACTTCCCTGTTACTGTCAAGGGTACCACCATCCTCTTAGACTCACAACTTAATGCCTTCTTCAACTATTCATTCTGTCACTCCCCCCTGACCCCCATCGCCATATTTAATCTCTTGCCAAGTTCTTTAGAGTCCACCTTCACAACATCCTTCCTCTATACCTCTTTCTCTCCTCTAATATTGCTACCACTATAGTGCAGGCCCTCATTACCTCATGCATGGATTATTATAACAGCCTTCTAGTTTGCCTCCCTGCCTCAAGTCTTTTTCCAGTACAATTCATCTTTTGGGTATTAAAGTGATCTTCAAAGAAATCAAAGCTATCAACAGTCATATAAAAATACTCTACTGATTAGAGAAATGCAAATCAAAACAACTCTGAGATACCATGTCATATCTATCAGATTGGCTAATATGATAGAAAAGGAAAGTGACAGATACTGGAGGGGATGTAGGAAAATATGGACACTAATGTACTATTAGTGGAGTTGTGAACTGATGCAGTCATTCTGGAGAGCAATCTGGAACTATGTCCAAAGGGCTATAAAACTGTGCATACCCTTTGACCTAACAATATCACTGCTAGGTCCACATCCCAAAGAGATCAAAGAAAAGGGAAAAGGACCAATTTGTACAAAATATCCCAGACTAAATCTGTTCAACTTTCCCAATTGGCCTCATCTGGCAAAGTATACCAATGAATCATTTCTTGGGCAGTTTTTTGAGTCGTCTCACCACTCTGGACACTTAGCTTAACCAACTCCAGTTGTGCCAGTGTTCCTTCTAAAATGTGCCTGAGCAGACCACAATAGTCCAGATACGATCTGAATAACACAAGTTAGTATAACCTATTACATTTGGGTATAATACACCTAGTCTTTTTTTTTTTTTAAAGAAGATCCTAAAGGATAGCATTACACTTATTCATAATAATTTATCTTTTCTTTTCTCCTCTCCTCCTTAGATCAGTTCCATTCAGTGCTAACAGTGAGACTCTGGATGGCCTGGCCTGTTGCAACTGATTAGCAGGGAAGAGTAAGGAGGCAGTTCTTAACCAAACTTGTTCCTCCTTTCTCTACCCTTGGCCATTCATCCCTAAACACCCACAGTAGCCCACGTGTCAATGAGTAGACACAAACACACTGTGACCACTGAGTACAAGCTCATACATACCTCTCCCCATTCAACATTCTTGGGTGGTAAGGGATAGTGTGAGATGATATCATAAGCTATTTCTTCCATGAACCACTTAAAACTTTTGCAGTTGTGATCTTCCCGAAATTTTTTCAGTTCCGATATATCCCCATAGGGTAGTGCTTTTGATTCAGGGCGACTGGCATAGAAATAGTCTTTGTAGCCATCCCACCAAACCTCCACAACTCTAATGTAGTTCTGTTGAAAAGAAAAAACATTTCACAAGGCAACACGTTAAGTTTTTACTTAGTGTAAAAAATCTGTCTTAACGGAACATGAAATGTTTCAAGCCATCTTCAAGTTGCTGTGTTTCTTTATTCTGGCCTCTGACCTCATGTCCCTGTCCTGGGACACTGGGCTTCTCTGATAATGGTACATAAGGAAAATGCAGGAGGCAAGGTAGTTAGCAAGGCTCTGGAGAGAGTATGGAATGAAGTGAACATGGCTAGGTTTCCCTGAAAAAGAGACAGGAGATGCCATCACCAATCATGATAGGGGCCAAGGGGCATTGGGGAAAGTCATTTAACCTCTAGGGGCATCTGCTTTCTTATCTGTAAGATGATATTTGAGTAGATGATCTCTAAGGCCACTTCTGTTGGCAGCTAGGTAGCGCAGTGATTAGAGTGCTGGGTCTGGAGTCAGAAGATTCATCTTCATGAGTTCAAATCCAGCCTCAGACACTTATTAGCTGTGTGAACCTGGGCAAGTCACTTAGCCCTATTTGCTTCAGTTAAATCTATAAATCTGTAATCTGTAAAAATAAGCTGGAGAAGGAAATGGCAAACCACTCCAATTTCTCTACTAAGAAAACATCAAATGAGGTCACAAAGGAGTGGACATGACTGAAAAAAAGGCCATTTTCAGCTCTAAAAATCTATGATTCCACTGTGAAAAAAAAATTTTTTTCTGAATAAATACAGGACCAAAGTTGGAAATAAAAGTCTGACTTTATTATTATATATAATATATACATAATAACTTATTGTTATTAATTTTCTGAGTATGCATACATAGAGATCTTTATATATCTCTTTTTGAGTTGATAACAAGTAATGCTTCTTTATTATTTATTTAAAAGTCTAGCATTTGGTGTGATAAAAAAATGCTACAAATAATTTTGAATTCTTAATACCTCTAACTCTGTTTTTAATTTTTCAAGTCACTTCTAGTTCAACCATACTTCACAATTTTACTACCTGTAACAGGTACCATTATCATTCTATCCACACCTTGACATGTTTGATTTTTTTTAATTTGTAAAAAATCTCTGGTTAACAAATACCAAATTGAGCATTTCCATATATACAGTTGTACAGAAAAAGAATATTGTACAAGAAATCTATTATGTGCAACTTGCTTTTAAAATATACATATTTTAAATATACCTATACACCTATATGTGGATTTGTGTATATATCTACGTATAACTGGTGTGTATAACTTTCAGAGCTGTCTTCCTTGCCTGTAATTCTTTCTGGCTGTCTCCTGCACATTAAAAAAAATGCTTTGATGATCCTTTTCTCTTTCTTTTTTTGACTATCCTAGTCCTAGCTCTTCTCTGCCTCCCTTTCCCCCATAAAAAAAGAATAACAAACCTCTTGTAATAAACATGCATAATTAATAAAAAACAAATTTCCCTACTGGCTGTGTTCAACGATCTATCTGCACCTTGATTCTGTCCCCTCTCCATCAGGAGCAGCTGGCATGCTTCATCATCATCTTTCCATCAATTTTAAAGGTATCACTCCTGAAGAAATTCACCTCTTATTATGGTTTCAATGATAAGACTCACCTTTAATGTTGGAGAAGATCCTAAATAAATTGGTGGTGGATTTCCTTGCCAACCGGAAAGACGATATATATGCCCAACACGAGAACAAGGGACAAACAACAATTTCCCACCACACTGCCATATCTACCAAGGAAAGAGAAATGTGGATTTTTTTTTAATAAGGTAAGGACCACGTCCCCCTCACAAAGCATCTAAAATCTACCAAGGAAAGAGAAATGTGGATGTGTTTTTTTTAATAAGGTGAGACCCCGCCCCCTGCAAAGCACCTAAAATCTCATCTTAAATTATCTACATTTCTGACAACATAGTAAATTATTCACATGGTTAAATGTTAAGACACTGTGATTTCCACAACCTATACAATATTAATAATAATTAGTAATAATAAAAGTTAAGTTTATAGAGCACTTGAAGGTTTAGATAAATTATTCTCGTGTGATCATACAACATCACAGAAGACTGCTGGAAGCAGAGCAATCAGTTTGCTACCAAAAGGACCCTTTCAACATACTCGTGTAACCCTAGCAACCTTTCTTCAAAACCGGTTTCTAAACAACCCTAAGAAAAGAAGGTTAAGACAAACGGGAAGCTGGCCTAAAGTTGCAGAGGTGGAAGAGGAGGGGGCAGGGAGGGCTGCAAGCCCGTGCACAGAGACTCTTTAGTCATGCTACGGTAATCGGGAAGTGCTAGGGTGAGGTGTTAGCTGACTGCATAAGGCCTTCTGCCTGGTCAAGCAGTGGTAGTTAGAGCACTACAACTCTGATTCAGGAAGACTTGAGTTCAAATCCTGCTTCAGATTCCTTACAAGTTATAAGTACTAGTTACCTGTCTGAGCCTCAGTTTCCTCATCTGTAAAATGGAGACAATAATAGCACCTGCCTCATGGGGTCTTCATGAGGATCAAAGGAGGTATCTGTAAAGTGCTTTGCAATCTTTAAAGCACTATATATATGCTAGCTACTACTATTGGCCAAGGGGGCTAGGGGAATCAGAAGATGAAGACTGGCATATTTTTCATCAGACTGACCTATACATGCTAAAGGGGCTGAGAGAGTATGTAGGGAGGACACAGACAAAGGAGCCAGTTGAGTTTGGAAGTATGGCCAGTCAGCACCAACCCAAACAGCAGCACCTTCCCCTTGGGAACAGCTTTAGCTGTGATAGCTTTGGGTCATCTCTTCCACTGCATCTGAGTCCAAGGATAATCTAAGGAAGGCTCACTCCTCTCTGGGTTTTCCTGACAGTGCTCTCACTCAGTATTCCTGTTACCTGTATGACTGATCCTTCTCAGCTACCTTTTTTTTAAATTTTATTTTTAACATCACATTTTATTTTCTTGAAGTAATGAAAGCAAAACTCAACCATAAACTGCTTTTCAGGAATGTAATTCTTAGGAGTGAAAACTGGAGATAATAACAATTGACATTTATATAACACCTTAAATTCTGCAAAACACATTTTCCTACATTACACAATAATAACTGACATTTATATAACACTTTAAATTCTGCAAAACACGTTTCCCTATGTTACACTTCATTTGAGTTAGTAGAACAGGGACTATAGAGGTATTAATGTCTTTATGTTACACAAGAAGAAACTAAACACAGGGCTTCTGCTTTCCTGAGCTGAACAAAAATCCTGTCCTGGCCCATCATCGAGTGTTAACCCTCATATTCCTGCTCTCCTTCCTCCCTTCCTCAGGTGGAAAACTTTATGCATTCTCTGGGTTTCTGGGTACATATCTGTGCTTATGTCCCTGTGCAGTTGGGTCCCATGTTCTTACGGCCTTTTTTTTTTTTAATTTCCTGTGGATAGGTATAACCAAGAATTGGGTGCTCTGCCCCCTCTTCTTCTCCCTCACAGTGATCTTATCAGCTTCTATGGATTCAATTAGCAGCAAGGTGGCACAGTGGATAGAGCTCTGGACCTGGAGTCAGGAAGACCTGAATCCAAATCCAGCTTTAGACATGAGCTGTTTGACCCTGGTCAAGTTACTTGTCTGCTTTAGTTACTTCATCTGTAAAATGGGTGTAATAATAACGCATATCTGCCAGTGTTGCTGTGAGGATCAAATGAAACATTTGTAAAGTGCTTTGCAAACCTCAAATTGTTCTGTGTTAGCTCTCATTATTATTATTATTAAATATAGAGAAAGTTTCTCCAGAACAGGTACACATTCATTCTCGATCCTTAATTGGCCCCTTGTCAGGGTCAGTCGATAAATATTTATTAAAATCCTTAATGTCTTAGCTCCTCATGAGATAAGACATATAAGAACAGGTAAGGTTTTCTTAAGCTTAAATTCTACCTGAGATGAATTTTTGATTCTCAAATATTCAAATGAACTTGTGATTTCATTGTCATTATTAATTACTCCAATAATGCAGCCACCTTTTTAAAAAATTTTATTTTTAACATCACATTTTATTTTCTTGAAGTAATGAAAGCAAAACTCAACTATAAACTGCTTTTCAGGAATGTAATTCTTAGGAGTGAAAACTGCAGATAATAACAACTGACATTTATATAACACCTTAAATTCTGCAAAACACGTTTTCCTACATTACTGTGACTAGCCCCGCCAGCCTACAAGGGCATCACCTACTGCACCAGGAGCTTTTTCTTTTTCTTTCTTTCTTTTTTTTTTTTCTTTTGTGAGGCAATCAGGGTTAAGTGACTTGCCTAGGGTCACACAGCTAGTAAGTATCTTGTATTTGAGGCTGGATTTGAACTCAGGTCCTCCTGACCCCAGGGCCAATGCTCTAACCATTGTGCCACCTAATTGCCCCACCTGGAGCTTTTTATTGACATTGTGAAGATACCCAGGGAAGCACATGGATTGCCCATTAGTTATTCTTGGCTCTTGTTAGGTAACCCAGACCATCTTCTTTTCTCACACACAAAAACCTAATAAATATTCATTTTGGTATTTAAGATATGCATTAAAAAAATAAAAAATCCTGTCTTCATGTGCTTGGATAAAGGGTCCCCCTGTCTGGAATGCACTTTCTCCTCTCCTCTAACTCTTGAAATTCCTATCAAGGCTCCTTCCAGGTTTTACCTGATCCCTACAGTTATTAAGGCCCTTTCCTTGAAGTCACTTTGTATTTTTTGTGTATGCTTACCTGGGGACACAGCATGAATATAAGCTTCCTTAGGACCATTTCTTTTTGTTATAGTAGGGGTGATCAGAGGAACTCCTGATTGATTTGGTGGGTCCCTCATCCATGTCTTATATCATCCTGTGAACTGGGGGACCCACCAAATGAATTGGGGATGCTCAGGGGAACCTCTGACTAATTTGGTGGGTCTTTTGGTCCATGTGATGAGATTAGAGCAGAGGTTCTTAATTGTTTTTTTTTGTGTGTGTGTCATGGACCTCTTCTGGTCTAGTTAAACCAATGGACTCCTTCTCAGAATGTTTTTTTAATTGCATAAAAATAAAACACATGGGATTACAAAAGAAACCACTTATACAGAAATATATTTATCAAAATATTTTTTAAAAAAAAGTTCACAGACCTAATTATGAACCCCTGGATTAGAGGGAGTCAGGGGTTATCTTAATCACCTGTTACGTCTTTGTATCTCTAGCAGCCCAGTGCCTTTTGTTAAGCATTAATACATTTAATAAAATTTATAAATGTGTGTTGCATTGAAGAATAAAAAAGCCAAGTTTTTACTAAAGGAGCTCTCCCAACTTCTGAAAGTCATACAAGTCTGGACTACCTTAATAAAATGCCCTTATTAAAATGAAATGTTTTACCTTGTAAGAAATCTCAAAGTTTTCACCACCCCAGATCTGAAGACCCGGATCGTAGAGACCCAATTCAAAGAAGAAATCCCGCTCAATGGCAAACAATCCACCAGCCATGGCTGGGGACCTAAGAAAACAAGAAAATAAAATAACTAATAAATCCAAGCAAAAAAAAGCAAAACAAAACAAAAGCCCACAGAAAGCTATCCCCTCTTGTGCACAATCAAATAATCAAGTAATCAGGAGAAGATCAAACTCATGACAAAACAATAAGAAATTATTAAGCTTTCATAAAATAATCTATAATTCCTGAGGGGTTTTTTTCCCTTTTACAAACTACTTAAACTAAGCCTTGGCTCAGCCATTAGAAGGAGCCTCCATCCCTGCCTAGCTTTCTGCTGCCAATCCAGGGGGATCCTACAGGCTGAAAATGAAGCTTTGGCTTCAGCTGAATACGGAGTATTCACTGCTTCGACTGCTAAGCAGCTGGGTGGTGGTGCTGTCGGCTCTGCTAACTGCCATTACGGTGATGCCTATAACTTATTCTGGGAAGCTGAAAACCACTACCCACTAGCAGCAGCCTGCCACTTTTTAATTTAATAGTTCAGGGACTTGACAAATGAGAGGAGGGTGTAAATCTCTGTAGGATGGCAGCAGAATAGCTTCAGTTTTCGAATCTGCAGTGGCCGCTGGTAACCTGAGGCCTCAGTTGGCACAGGAAACCTCATTAGGAATGGAACAGTAATTCTATTAAGAAAGGAAAATCTTATAAGGCACAAGCTGTTCTAGTCTTCAGATTGTCCTGAGAGTACGGTACTAAAATATCTAGCCATATTCCAATAACATATGGCGTTCTGTTTCTTAAAATTATTCTCATAACTTTGCCTTTTGGAGTTGCAAAAATATCTCAGCAGACACTTAATCTGGAGAATCATGGTTTTATTTTAGATGACTATACAGATGACTTTAAGGGAATAACTTGTTATGACAACCTGGTAAATAATTTTTAAAAATTATTAGCCCAGTGAGTAGACAAATTGATGATTTCTGGGCTTGTTATATAACTGTTCTAACTTAATATTCCCAGACTTGAAGTTTTATAATTTCCTTTTGCTTGCCATTTCAGTTAAGGAATAGTATGTAAAAAGTATAAATACACCATGAAACCCCAAATCACACAAAAGATTTAAACAACATTGTAAGCATCTTCCACAAAATCATGACCACTCCCCTCCACAACATTGAACAACAACTGAACAGTGATTGAAATAATCATCAAACCAGTACCAGAGATTTGACAAAAACAATTTAAACGCAGAGCCGAAAAGCCCACTCCTGAAATATGTGGCGAAAATATTTCACTTTATGTCATATTTTGAAGACAACATTCACCAGTGGAGAAACCAAAAGAAATGGGATTTGATAAATTGTTTTATTTGGAAAATAGATTGTGGTGGGGTGGGGGCAGGGGAGCCAATTTGTGAAAGAGCTTTCTTTCCAATTTAACACATTGCTGAGAACAAACAGAAATAGAGGAGCCTGTTTAACATTTCTTGAGCCTTCCACCTCTACTGATCAAACTTGACCTGCTATAAAATGTGTAGAGCAGAATGGGCACATAAAAGTGAAAGGAATATTATGTTGTTGTTGTTTTTTTAACCATTTGTCCTTCAATGTTCACAGGAGTTACATTCAGGCATTAAAGGAGATATTTATAAATTTTGAATTTTAAGCAGTTTATAAAGAGTATCCCCAAAATCCTAAGCTACTAAAGTTTTTTTTTTTTAAACTGCACCAAGACTTTTGGAACGCCCTGTATTTCATGTTACATATGACATCCTTATTATGCTCAAAAGAATTAAAATTTGACTACAACTCTCACAGGAGAGGTGGAGAAGGAATGATTTCATTCAATGGTGCTTGAAAACAAAGCTCTCATATCATTACTTTTTTCCCCCTGGGAAAAAGCAAATTTTCAGTTAACACATTTTGGGTAAAGATTTCAATTTAAGTGCAACAAGGACAACAAAGGAGAAGAAGCAAAGGTAATTTTTTCTGTAGGTAGTATAATTACTAATGGTGTTAGTAAAAGGGAATGGAAGCTTTTTTAAAAAATATATCTGACATAGCACAGAGGTTGTTAGTAGCAGAATCTTAGTTTCACACAAGTATTTAGAATATTAATGTCTGTTAGAGAGGAACATAAGTTACTTAGTGATTACCGATAGGGCTCAGTTTTTGTCTTTCTCATTGTCTTCTCCTGCTGGGTCAGAGGCACTCTCTTCCAGAGCAAGCTCCAATCCCACGCTCCTCTAGCGTACCCATCTTCATCACCACCCCCTTGGGGCATAATTTTAAAACTGTTGGCATCTATGATATCTATAATCGGCACAGTACATACGGTTCTGTAGTATAGTGATGGTTGCAGGAAAGATGAAATGGAGGGGTATGGACCCATATATTTTACACGAGTTCATGAGGAGGGAAAAAAAAACAAACCACTTAGAGAAACATTTGACTTCAGAAGAAAAAAAAAGCAATGTTCTTTACCGATAAGGCTCGGTTTTATGTTTTCTTTTGGCCTTTTCCTTGTGGCTTAGGGGAATACGTTTCCACAGCAAACTCCAGTCCCAGGCCCCTCTGGCAAAACCATCTTCATCCCCACCTTGCTGTGGTTCAATGGAATAATCATTCCCATCTATGTAATCTATTAGAGGCACAGTACATGTAGTTCTGAAACATTTACAGAAAATGAAAAAGCATTTTAAACTCAAGAACTGAAAACTACCTAATCTAACATGTCCCATGATGCTGTCAAATTTGTAAGTCTGTCATAATCTTCTAAATCTAGTGGCAAATAGATTAAGGAACTGCCCCACTGGAGGAAAAAATGGATTCCCCTTTTCTTTTTGACAAGTAAAGAATAAAGGAGGCCAAGAGTGGGATGCAAAGACATACTGGAAGGGCAAATGATTGAGTCGCTGAGTTTGTCAGCAATGATTTCTCCTTTATGTGCTGTTCTAAGCACCGAAGCTTGTGACTTAACCACTACCAGCCTGTCACTTCCCTTCCCTGAAAATAAATGTATGAGTGAATGAATTAGGGAGAAGCGCTCATAGCACAGCCTTAGTTGTTTCTGTTCTTGTTGATTTTATTCCCTCAGGGCAGTTAATGGAGAGATGGACATTAGCATTTCCTACATCTGAAAAGAGACTGCCAGGAAAGGCATATAACTACTACCTTTCTTGAAAGGAAACCAAATCTCCCCCACCCTTGCCCTAATCCACCCAATCCCCAAAATCCCCAGCAGGGGAAAGGAAGGCCCAAAGCCAAACAAAAGCAATGGTCTCTATGTTTAAAGCAGAGCGTCTTGCCTTTTTTTAATTTCTTGGAAGGGCTGCCCTGGGTAGTATATCAAAAAGATATAAAATTTAGCACTGAAAAGATTAATATCATCCTTGCTTCACTCCTCTTATCCTAAAGAATTTTCTTTATTTATTTACTAAAATAGAGATCAGCATCTTCCCTAACCATGTAGGTACCTGGCATTTATTATGTACTACTATGTTCCAGGAAATGTGCTGAGTGCTTTACAAATATTATGTTATCTTGAAAGTACAGAATCCAAGTGGGAAAAGAGCCTGGGGAGTTCTTAACCTGGATCCATGAACTTTTAGAAAACTCTATTTTGATAATGTCATTTAAATATAACTGGTCTCCTTTGTAATTTTATGTATATTACCTTCTGCATTTGAAAATATTATTTTGAGAATTGGTTCAGAGGTTTCACTGTACAGTTCAAAAAAAAAATTAAGACCCCTTGTTCTAGAATGATGGATGACCTGGGAGACAAACACAGGGAAATGTTTCTCTTTGAGTTTTCATTCTATTCCAGGCCACATAGTAGATAGAGTGCCCGGCTTGGAGTCAGGAAGACCTGAGTTAAAATCTAGCATCAGTCACTGACTAGCTGTATGACCCTGAGCAAATCATGTAACCTGTTTGCCTCAGTTTCCTCATCTGTAAAATGGGGATGATACTAGCACCTAATTTCCAGAGCTGTTTTGAGGATCAAATGAGATAATTGTAAAGTGTTAGCACAGTGCCTGGCATATAGCAAGCTTTATATAAATGATAGCTATTATTATTATTATTATTCTCATTATAATTGCCCACAAGGAGGGGTAAAGGCAACGTAGGATTAAAGGAATTCTCCCAGAATTCTCTGGACTGTCACTTTCTTATTGCCCTTAAGAGCCACCCCAGGTTCACAGATTAGGATCACAGATGTAGAGCTGAAAGGGAATTTACAGCTTATCTAGTCAAAGCCTCTCATTTTACAGATGAGGAAAGTGAGGCTTAGAAAAGAGAAGTTATTTACCCAAGATCACTCAGGTAGAGAGCCAGAATTTGAGCTTCCCGATTCAAATCTGTAACTCTTCACTATACTGTGTTAGAAAAAAAGTTAGTTCTACTTTCTCTACTTCACATTTTTAAAGTAACTTCTGCAGAAATGGTATCAAAGCATATTTACACTACACTAGACACAAGGCCTATTTTCAGCTAATTAACATGGTCCTGCACCTAGTGTTTACTTAAAAAAAAAGTTATAATTCCTGTTCTAACCCAAGTATTATCTTGACTTTACATGGTATCTTTCAAGGGGCTTTCAAGGCAGTTTACATGTTAACTAAACCTCAACTTCCTTGCAAAGAGAAATATGCAGGGATTTCCTGCATTTTGTAAAGTGGAAAATGAAGACAAAAGGTGATAGGGGTTGTCTAGTGAATCAATGAAACAGATCAATCTCAAATTCTAGATGGGTTTTTTTTTTCATTCCTGATTTACTTCCTTCTTCCACCAAATTATGCCTCCCCTCCTAAGCTTAAAGCCATACAAACATTCCTTACAACTCTTCAGGCTTTTTTTAAATGAATGATCAATTCCTAGTAACATCTTAAAAGTCTGGATCAACAGTTCAAAAGTACTAGCGTGCCTTTTCTGTACCAGATTCACTCTAAAATAGAATGAAGAGGTAAGGTGGCATGACCAGGGTTAAAGAAAAAACAAATATTTCCAGGGCTGAAATTGTGTTGTTAGGCACAAGCTCAGAGGGGTTAAGTTTTCTTAAAAGTTAATTTTTTTTCTTATGTAATCTTTTCTCTCTCTTCTATCAGAGCTTACTATAGTGCCTGGCACACAGCAGACACTTAATAAATGCTGATTGATTCTTATTCCTCAAGTAATTTAAGGTGCATTTTGTGTTTCTTTTCTATTCCCTGGAGAGGTCTAGCAATTGCTGGCTATTGATTATGCCAACAAACTTTTCTAAGAATGTAATTTTCTTCTCTAAATTAAGATGAGGAAAAAGAAACTAAAATGTGGAACATTTAACATCATTTAATGAACTACCATCATATCTTGTACCAAGTAACACATGAATCGAGAAATCAATAACAGACTCTTAATGAAACTGATACGCAGATGCATGACACAGTAGAAAGAGCCTTGGCTTTGTTACTATCCCATCCTTGACACTCTCTGGGTGACCTTGGGAAAGTCACAAACTCCCTGGGTTTCAGTTAACTCACTTGTAAAAGGAGAGGGTTGGTCCAGATGGTTTCTGAGATCCCTTCCTGCTCTAGATTATGGGATTTTGTGCTAATTCTATGACTTTTCCCCTTTCCAAGTTCATTATAATTTTTTTTAACCCTTAATAGGAACCAGAAAAAAATCAATAGGGAAAAGTGAAGCCCTGGAAGGAAGGAGGGTTCTTAATTTCTTCAAGCTAAGCTACTTCCAACCATTAAGAGATGCCACCATAATGGCATGTCTGGATTTAGCTTGTTTAATTTTCCTGGATTCCCAAACAACTGTAGTTGTGGCTTAGGACCACTGATGCCTTTAAGAACAGGCTACTGCCTTCTAATAACCACCTAGAAAGTCTTGGAATTGGGTAATGACATTAAATTCTAGAAGGTCCTTTAGGTTCCTAAGCAGAGGTGAAGCAACTATTATAATTCAAAGTTAACAAAATCTCTTGAGGAAATTAAAGACCTAACCAGGAAAGAATGTTAAGACACTGAAGTTACTGGTCACTATCTCACATTTAAAAAAAGTAGTGTACCTAATAGAGTGTTGGGCCTGGAGTCAGGAAGATCTGAGTTCAAATGTGGTCTCAGATACTATCTGTGTGACACTGTACAAGTCATTTAACTTCTGCCTCAGTTTCCTTAATTGTAAAATGAGGATAATAATAGCTCCCAACTCCTAGGATCGTTGTGAGCACCAAATGAAATAATATTTGTAAAGTGCCTGGCATACAGTAAGTGCTTAATAACTGCTGTCATACTTCCTTCCTCCCTTTCTTCCTCTGTTCCTCTCTTCTTTTCCCTTCCCTTCCTTCTCTCCTTCCTACGGCAAAACTGGTGTTTGAAAAGAGGATAGAACGGTGGGTTTAAAAACTTAAGAAAGGCAGGCATGGCAAAGAGAATAGAGAGCAGAATGTGGAAACTGGGGTGACTCCAGGTAAGCCGTTAGGTAACTCTCCAAGATTCTTATTTGCAGAACAATTTTGGATCTGCACTGGTGGAGAGTTTTCCCACTATATTCCCCTGCCAGGACTGGAGGGTTGTACCAAGGAAAGTGCAGGCCTGGGCTCCAAACAACAAGCTCACTTCAAAGCATGGTCATTTTAAGTCTTTCTGATGCCCCAGTTTAAATGGGGATATTTAAAATTATTCTTGGGTAAATGTATTTATAAATGAAGGAAAGGGTTTCTACAGGTTCATTCTCTAAGCTTACCTCATAAATATCAGACATTATATCAGTCTGGTATGATCTCCCCTAAAAAATACCAGTGGGATAAAATGGCAGCACTTAGGACAAACTGACATAATGAACTGAGCCCTGAGAAGCTGATTGCTTTTAAACAAGAGGAAAAAATCAAACAAACAAAAAGAGAAGAAAAGTGTTTGTTACCTGTCCTTAGATATAGGAGCTATAAGTGGTGCATACCAGTTTACTCCCACCTCACAATGGGCATCAAGGTATATAAGAACCTTCAAAAAGAAACAGGCAGGGTGATAGAACACAAATTACTTCTGCATGTGTACCACATCACACATCATGTAAAGACAGAGATAGCATTACTTTAAATTGGGATACATGAGATGTCTGTTTAAATCAGTATTCCTCGTTTGAATAAAAGATCATTTAATCAACAACAATCTACTTGGACGAGCACAATATATAGTTTTCATCAAATGCTTTAACACTTCTAACCCCAAAAGATCTCTGAGCTATGTGAGGGGGTCTTCAGTGGAGATGAAGCTATACATGAAATTTCTCCTACCTGTCCAAGTTTGGCCTTGTGGGCTCCAATACTTCGAGCCTGAATTAAACCTTCTCGCCTCTCATTTCGAAATACCTTCACCAGGCCATTCCACTGCTTAATGTACTCATCTAGTCTGTCTTTTAAGTGTGCTGTGAAAAAATGGGGGAAAAAAATACACAAATATTGTTGGTTAGGTTTGTTTTCATGTTCATCCCAACACCGTTTCCCCAGGAAATGTGGATAGGCCATAGGAAACTCAGCTAAATAATCGAACTATAGCTACACAGCTTTGATGAAGACTGTTCATACTGTAAGAAAATCCAGGTTATATTGCCTGCAGTATTGATTTAAAAGGAAGACAATAAAAACAGAAGTGCATCTATTTGGTTACACCTCAGCTTAGTATGCATTATTTAGTTTTCTTAACAAAAGTAAAAAATAAGCATAAGGCTAATAAACATTAAAAGGATCATGATTATTATACTTAATTTTTGCCAGTTTAGACTTTCAGCTGGAGTTAAATTCCATAAGCTTTAGAGAATACACATAGTTTGCTTTGGACAGAAACATCAGCTCAACATTTTTCAGGATGAATATTATCTGAAAATATTATATCCATTCATTTAAATATGACTATAGTGTAGGCCATTTATGCATTACTTTCTGGACTCTCTGATCTTTCTTTTTATTAGGAGAATTTAATCCGTTCACATTTATAGATATAATTGTTAAGTTTATGCTTTCTTCCATTGAACTCTTATATTTCTTCTCTCTTCTCTCCTCTGTCATCTTAATCTGATCCTGGGCGGATTACTTCTTGGTTTCTGTTTTGTTTTTTTTTTTTTTGGTGAGGCAATTGGAGTTAAGTGACTTGCCCAGAGTCATACAGCTAGTGAGTGTTACGTGTCTGAGGCCGGATTTGAACTCAGGTCCTCCTGAATCCAGGGCTGGTGCTCTATCCACTGTGACACCTAGCTGCCCCTGATTACTTTTTTCAAAAGCATACTGTTTATAGTTATCTGTAACATGAGATCATACAAAGGGGTCCCTGGCCAAGAAAGAGAAAGTAAAAGTGAAGGTGTATCACTTCCTTTGTACTACAAATGTTGGAACATCTACAGCCTTCATTTGGTGGAGGAATTTTAGCATGCTGCAACAAGTTTGATCACATTATGCCAATGTTTCCATCACGACTTCCTTCTGCATGAAAACAGGTTTTGTTTATATCCCTAAACACACATGTGATTGGCTGACTGTAGGCAAAACTGGTTTCTGGAAGCTTTCATAATAGCTGGCTTGTAGACACACAAAAATGAGGCCCAGTTTTGAAAGAGTCTAAAAATTGGTCCGTAAATATACTACAACCAAAAAAAAAAAAAAGAAAAGAAAAAAAAACCAAACAAAAAACCAAACACAGCTACTTTGAGATAAGAGCTGGTTGTTTAAATGAGCAAATCAATCTGGGCATACATAACAGTCACTTGGCTCATCTTCAGAAAGCCTGCTAGACAGATGCCCATACATAGGTATTCACACTAAAAAAGTTAAAGATTTCCATTAATATATGGGTTAGTTATAATAATCATTTAATGAGGATAAATAAAAAAATTCTAGCATTGATTTCCCCCCCCCCGAGGAAATCTGGGGCATTTCCCTATCTAGTAAGGGTTTGTCTTTTTAAAATCAGTGACTTTATTAATGAAATTGCTTTCTAACCCAGCACAAGAAATAATTTATTGTTTTTATGTCCTTCCTCAGATCCCTTAGTTGTTTTGATAAATAACTAATGTAAAACTAATCTTTATTGCCAGGAACAAAGCTTGGGGGGAGAGGGGGTCTGTTCTTCAAATTCTAAGGTTAGGCTACCCACGGCCCAGGATACAACATGAGCTGTGGAGTCTAATGATCGCTAAGCCACAATCCAATTAAAAAATAAAACACACACAAAAACAACCAAACAACAACAATAAAAAATTCCTGCTGATTTGAGACCTACTATGTATAGCAGTTGAATATCAGTTTGGAAGGATGCCTCCAATGGAATGCCCCAGAAATCGGTGCTGTTTAACGTTTTAATCAATGACTTGGATAAAGGCATAAAGCACATACTTGTAAAATGTGTAGATGACACAAAACTGGGAGGTTTAGTGAATATACTAGATGATAGAGTTAGGATCCCAAATGACCTTGAAATTTAATATAATTGTGTTTTACACTTGGGTTAAAACAACAAATAACCACCACCACCACCACCACCACCAGGCTTCAGAAGTGCAAAATGGCTGACACGATTAGACAACCATTGGTCTGGAAAGGGATCTGGAGGTTCTGGTAAACAATGGTGTGAGGACGCGGTCTTAACCACTGTAAGAATAAGGAGGTGATAATCCCATTTTACTCTGCTCTGGTTACTCTACACGTGGGCTCTAGGTGGTACTTTTCAGAGAGACACTGATAACCTGGAGAGCATTCAGAGGAAGGCAACCAGAACGATGAAGTAACTCAGGTTTCTGCCATATGGGGCCTGGAAGATTAAGTGAAAGAACTGGGGATGTTTAACGTGGATAAAGTTAAGACTCAAGAAATATAATGGTCATCTTCAGGAATCTGAAGGGTTGTTTTATGGAAGAAGGATTAAACTTATTCTTTTTTGGTCCCAGATAGAAGATACAGGTGAAAGTTGTAAAGAGATACATTTAGTAAGGGGAAAGCTCCTCATATTTATAATGAATGGAGTGGGCTGTCTTGGGAGAGAGCAGGTTTTATTTTACCAGAGCTCTTCAAGTAAAAGCCTGGGGATCACTTGGGATCCCCAAATTTAGTGCTGCCAGGGACCTCAGGGTCACCCAGACCAACCCTATGATTCGACAGATAAGGAAACAGGAAGTCCAGAGAGATAAAATGTTTTGGTCACAGAGACAGGCAGAGAGCAAGGATTCGAACCTAGATTTTACAACTTAAAATTCAGGGCTCTTAACGCTTCTTATGTAAAACATGGTATAAAATGGATTCTTTTTCTATTATGGGTTAGACCAGAAGGCTGTTAGAGCAGATAGGTGGCCCAGTGGACGGAGAGCCAGTCCTGGAATCAAGAAGACTCATCTTCCTGAGTTCAAATACAGCCTCAACAGTACTAGCTGTGTGACCATGGGCAAGTCACTTAACCCTATTTGCCTCAGTTTTCTCATTTGTAAAATGAGCTGGAGAAGGAAATGGCAAAACCACTCCAGTATTTTTGCAAGAAAACCACAAATGGAGTCAGGAAGAGTTGGACACAACTGAAATGACTGAAAAGCCTTTCAACTCTGAAATTCTGTGATTCTATGACCTAGAGATAAATAGATGGAGAGATGAGGACACTACAAGTGGAATAAACAGAACTCAAAAAAGGGAAAGCATTGAGGGATGGATATAGAGGGATGGTCTGGAAAGAAAAGTATATTACAGGAAGGATGCTTACCCCTTATCCTGGTCCCATGAGTACAAGGGAGTATATGTGTGTGTGTGGGGGGGCAGGGTTGGTTGTGGGTAGGGAAGGAGTGGCCACCAATGGAGTGGATTTTCCAGGGATGTAGCATCCTCAGGGGAAATCCAAGTTTCTCTTAAATAAAGGAACTAGGATGCTGATCAAAATGTTTAAGGAGAAGCATGGGTTCCAAAGATCAATACATGGTCCATAACTCTTCTAGTGAGGACATCCTATTATTTCCATCTTCCAAAGTAGAATTGAGAAGAGTCTGTTCATCTTTAAGGATTTCAGTTTACTTCTTTATAATGTAGGCTCATCATCCTTCCTCCCAGAAGCTTTATATTTGGAAATGCTTTGACCTTTGAAGGAAAACTCAAGTAAAAAGGGCTATTTTCTGAATTTAAAAATGGAGACCAAAAGCAACCTTTCATTCAAACCTGATAAATCAAGTACTGTGTAATTAATAGACATATGACTTTCAGCTTTTAAAGTATTTTGTAATAAAAAAAATGAACTTAAGATCTTGTGTTCTTCAGGTGAGAATCAAAACAGAAATATGTCAAGATTTGCCAAAAAGTTGGTTCTGAGTACTTTGAACTACAGGTACTCTACGCCACATTCAAAGATAAACCTTCAAATTATGGGGTAGGGGCCAGGCCTGTGACTTCATTGGTTTAAGAGGTATTCCAGATGAGGAAACTCCATCTACCCAGGTAGGCTGGCATCTTCTTTACAATTTATAGTCTTCGAATCTCATTGAGAGGTTCAAATGACTTGTCTAAGATCACACAGTCAGTGGTAGGGCTTGAACCCAGGTCTTCTTAGCTTCAAAGTCTGTTCTTTACCCACTAGGCCATGTTGCCTCTCAAGTACATTCTAAAAACACTAAATTAAAAATATTTCAAGAAACAAAAAGATTAATTATAAAACCTTATACTTGAAATAGGAGGAAAAACAAACCCTGCAAACTACTGTTCTCCTTTTCCTTGGAGGTCTTTGTTTCTGGATAGCAAATCTTTTAATGTTTTTTCATTTTCCTTTTAGGATGCTCCTTTTTCCTAAGTGTATTTATTAACAAAGGGGACTTGCCAAATCTTTATGGCCTGAAAAGTGGTACTTCTAGTTTTATTGCCATTTTTGTGGACTCTGATTTTTAAAAAAAATTCTTTAAATAATCTTTAAACACATTGTCCAAGAACAATTATTTTCTAGGGCAGTGATTCTTCCTCTTACTGAGGATGCCTTGCTAATTACAAATTATAATATTTTAAATTAAATGCACTTGCTGCTACTGCATTTAAAAAAAGTACAGTAGGTTCTAACACACAGATTTCAAAAACTGAGAATCAGTTGTACAAAGAAAGGGAGAGGAAGGAAGTGGGCAGGTTATGTTTCTATTTCCTTCTGTTAGTGGTACCACATGAGTAAAAGATCAGGGTTGTGATTGCTACTTTACAAAGATACTAGAGGCTGTGCAAGCCCCTAACCAAATGGTTGCCCTTGTTGTGGGAGTGGTTAAATTCAAATGTTGGAGAAAAGTGTTGTCAAGCCTAATAAGACTTGAGGTTAGGATTAAGATTTGTCTAAAATGTGTTCCAAACACCTAGCAACTGCTCAATACATTAGGCACCTACAGCCTGTTTGTCTATATTTACTAATTATATTTTCATACCCTATACAATTTGACCAATGTTTTTAGATTTTGTCACATGGCACCACTATTTCTGGGCAGGGAAAAAAGAAATCTAACTACAAACTAGCTTGCTCAGTATTTTCCCCAAAATGCATTCAATGAGAAGAGACAAACTATTGTGATGCTGCTGAGTGGGCTGACTACTTGGCCAATTTCCAGAGTCCCACTTAACACTTCAGTGACAAAGGAAAAAAAAAATCATAAATATGAGTCTGGGTTTATTTAGGGTCCAGGTTGGTTTTGTTTGGTTTTGACTTGGAACTCTGTCTCATTCTATATTTTTGGCATTTGGAATGTACATGCAGTTTAACACTTGAGAACAGCTGTTGGCAGAAAAAAATGTTCCTATCAAAAAAATCTAGAAAATCATTACATCAATATCTTTTTTTATAAAAATGTTCAAAGATTAACCAATGTTTGTTCTTAGAAATGGCTCCTGAGTAAGATGTCATAAAAGACAACAGATATTTTTATTTTATTCAAATGCTTAAATCAAGTTTAGAACAAAATGAGTTTTAAGAGCAGCTTCTCATACACATAAACTAGAAATTCATTTCCCCTGTCAAAGTCAATATTGATAGCGTCAATGAAGTGCCAAACTCCAAGGCAGAGAAACAGGTCATGATCTCTGTTTTTGGCAATTATGGATGGATTCAGCATGCCATCACAATACACCTGAGACGGTAGCGTTTTTAAGCTGTTCAATAAATTTCCTTTATTATTAATGTCTTATAGAATCTAAGGCCAAAAAATTGAGGCAAATCTCTGTCCCTACCAAAAATAATTAGTCATTCAAAGACTTCTTAAATTGACCTACCTCAAATGACTCACTGTGACATAAACCGATAGTTTCCTTTAAAATCTCAAATTTTTTGACTTCATAAAACCCTTTTATCTTCTATTCTTGGAGAAACCCATAGCTTTGGAAAGCTAATACATTTCTAAGCTCTCATTTTCAATATTACTTGGACAATTAAGTTTTTTGAAGGGGGAAAATATAATGTTAATTCCACAATTCATTACCTTTATTACTAAAATCATCAATTAACACAATTTCTGCCAAATATTTCCTTGGTGTCCTTTTAATTACACTGTGAACCGTTCTCATGAGAGTTGACCATCCTTCATTATGGAAGACAATGACAACACTGGAAGTGAGCAGGTTTTCATCATAATGCCAATACTTGCATCTGTAAAAAGATTGTAATCGGGTTATTTAGAGGCATTCTATAGTTGTCAGTTATAGCTGTACAAACACAATATGCCTATTAGTTCCAATTTCACTAAGATCAAGTTTACTGGTGAGATTCTGTCCTATTCACAAGTCTATATACAATACTGAACGAACAAAACACAAACATTTCTGTTTTAATAGAAGAACAGGGAGGGAGGGAGGGAGAGGCAGACAGACAGAGAAAGACAGAGAGAGAGACAGAAAGAGAGAGAGAGAGAGACAGAGAGGCAGAGAGAGAGGAGAGGAGAGGAGAGGAGAGGAGAGACAGACACTCATGTGCATTATGGTCTAAAGTAAAACAAGTCATTCCAATTAGACTTCATTCCTAATCCAGTCAGCAGCGACTCTTGCTCCTTAAGGACCTCTAGATGGTGAATTCACTGAGGAAAGGGCTATTCAATGTCCTCAACTCATGATGCTTGAGAATGCTGTTATGATAATTTCTCAGTGCTTTTCCATATCCATCAGCATCATTTTATATAACCTGGGTTGAACTTCAATCATTATTTTGTTTTTCTGGTTCTGAACTTAAGCAAGAGGAGGGAGGGGGTTTATTGAGTCATATAGAGTGTGTGTTTAACTTGCTGTGAGGAAACCACTGTGCAACTGTGTTTAAAAAACTCTTCCGTTATGTTCAAATGTGGCTAAATGTTCAGAAAGATGAAAGGAAACTGGTTGCCTTGAACCAGGTTCAAAAACTGCTTGGGGTTGCTAGGTTGACTAAATGATCTTTAGCAATTCTAGATTACAGACAGGGAGTTTCAAATAAAAAGGGGGAGGGAATGAGTGGCACTCCCCCTGCCCAATTATAAGTTAACACCCATGGAGCTTGGTGCAGAATCAGAGATCTGCCTAGAATACCGATAAGGGGTCTTGAGCAGCAAGAAGCCATATTTCTTTTGTAGACACTGTGTAGGTAACCAGAGCTAGTGAAAGTTAGCAAGCACCTCTTGATGTCAAACTGGAGTTAAGAGCTTTTGGTTTAAAATTCTCCAATGTAGCAGGTTGAAGGAGTAAATAGACCTAAGTGCAGGTCCAAAGCAAGAGTTAAAAACTGGGTTAGCCTCATCACAGCTTGGGAACAGAAAGTTTAATGGAAGGAGGTTCTTACCTTCTTCCTAGGAATTGGGATTTCTTTTGCTCTTGCTTAAAAGTGTATTTTTTGGGGATGGGTTGGAATGGGAGGGTGAACTGTCAAAGCTTGATGAATAATAATTCAGATTGTGCTCACAGAATTGAATTATTTGTTTAGAAAAATATTCTCCTTGACCCCCCCTAGTATTTTTGACACTACTGACTACCATTTCCTCTTCCATAGCCTTTCTTTTGCTTCAGCGACACTCTCTCTTCTGACTCTTTTCCTATATATTTAGTTACTCCTTAGCATTCAGGATCCTTATCCATCACCTGCTTCCTTATCATCCCTTACCCACCATATCCAGTCAGTTTGTCAAATCTTATCAAGTCTAACTCTCCAAAATGTTTCTCATCCATATCCTTTCCCCCATTTTCTGGTCCAGGCCTTCATCATCTCCCACCTGTACTGCTAGTTTGTTTTTTTTTTTCCTTCCCAATTCAGTAATTTATTTGTTAAGGACCTACTATATGCAAATCACTTCTCATGCAAAAATCATTGGTAATATGGGAGAAAGCCTGCTTACCCTCACTGTTTTATTTTATTCTGTCTCTTTAAAAAAAGTTTTGTTGATGTGTTTTGTTTTCATATTACAAACATTTTCAGATTATCTCCAATCTGTCTGAGGGCTCTCTTGTGACAGAATAAGATGATTAAGTAAAAGTAATGATAATAACCTCTTCTGAAAGTTCATTTAACATTCCATACCCTCCATCTTTCTATTTTTGTTTTTTTTAATTAATAGAAATCTATTATGTGTCTCCTTCCCAATGAAATGACCATCCAGTATCTTGGAGGACCAATAATGAAACACATTATCCATCTCCTAGTGATGGGATTTAGGATGCAGGATGAGACACATATTTAAAACAAAGCCGGTAAGAAACACTTTGCTCTGTTTAACTATGCCTATTTGGCAAGAGAAAGAGACAGAGAGAGACAGAGAGAGGGAGGGAGGTGGAGAGAGAGAAGGAGATGGGGCAAAAAAGAAGGGAAGTGGAGGGGCAGAAGACAGAGACAGAGAGATTTCTTCACTGGAAATTCTGAAGTGAAAAATGTACTGTGGAAAAGAGGAAGGTAAAATAGAAAGAGGGAAAACAACAAATTGGGTGGGATCCGTTCTGGGGTTGCTGGGAACCCCGAAATGTTAGGGTACAAGGTGGAGTTGTCTGGAACTAATTCACACACTCAAACCATCTTCCAGTCAAGTGGCAAGGTTGATTGTAATGTCAACAGAATTGGGCAGGGTTCCTAGTGAACCTAAAGCTTAATGCGGTGAGACTCATGCTTATATACAAAAAGGACAGTGAAAGGATCTGGATGGGATTAAGGAGTGGTAAATGATTTGGGATGAGCCAAGTAAGACAGTGAAAGGAATGTCAAATAAACTAATTAGGTAATCTAGGTGGCTGGGGTGATCCAAGAGCCTTGGGTGGAGGTGCTGGTGATCTGGGCTGCTGAAATGTATGGGAAAATTCCTGGACTGGGTTGTATCATCAGTTGTATTTATAATTAAAAAAAACCCACTATCTACTATTAATCTAATGTCTATGGAAATTTTGTTAGGCTGGTGGTGGGAAAAGAATAAGCAAAAATTTTTATAATGAAGAAATCCTATAGGATCAAATAACAAAATGTGCTTTTAAAGCACAAAGCAGGGAATCAATCTACAAGCACGTAGCTCATTAATATATATCGTATGCCCAGCCCTGATAGGCATTAAAAGTATTATTGTGATTACTGAAAAATTAGTGAAAAGAAGTCAAGAGGAAATAAAAGAAACAAAGCCCATCTATGACAATCCAGTCACCACAGAGGAAAGCAAGCTGTGGCCATACCTTCCTGAACAATCTTCCTGAATAATCTCCGTTTTGCCCTATCCAAGATAAGTAACCATTGAGAAAAATGATTATTTTCTTATCATATTAGTAACCAATTTTATATACAGGACTCAAACATTCCCTTCAAGCTTTCTCATTCAAAACCCAGTCTCTCAAGGGCATTTCTGTCCTTGCCTAAAAATTCACCCCACCCAGACCATCTTTTCTAGGTAGAATGCTTACTGTGTAACTCACCATCGTTTAACTCTAATAGGACTGAGTAGAGAAGAGATTCTTTTGTATTGATTGCTGGAGCTGGAATGATCTAGGAATGCTGATAGGACCTAAGTCACATTCCCCCAGCCTTTCATCAGAAAAAGCCCACCTCTCATTATAATATTCATTCTCTCATTGACTGTTCCCAATTAGAGTTGATTTTTACCCTCAGGGACACCCCTTTCCAAAAGGTATTTAAACATTTTAGCAATCTCAATTTGGAGTCTTTGCTTATGAGAGAGACCACTGACCTCAATTTATTATTTGCTAGCCTAATTAATATATTCATTATTAATCATCCAGAAGCTCTGTCTCTAGACTTTTCATTTGTCTCACCACGATTCAGGTCCAATGCTCTCTAACTATTTAGAAGCTACCTCAGCAGGAGACTGGTTGGCTAGACAGTCAATAAACATTCATTAAGAACCTACTTTGTGTCAGGCACCAGTGCTGGGGATACAAAAAAAGGCAACAGACAGTCCCCGCCCTCAAGGAGCTCACAACCTAATGGAAGGCAAAACACAAAAAGAAGTTGAAGAAGGGATGTGTTTGGAAACTTCTGTTGAGTATAGTTGCTGAGAGTGGGCATTGGACAAGAATCACACAGGATGGAAAATAGAGGTTAAAAACTAAATGTTTATATAGGGAAAAAAATCATTTCTATCTACATTCTAGGCTGATTTATTTATATCTCACACTAAATGGTACTGAAATGAGTATTCCATATAATCCAAATGCCTGTTACTTGTTGAATGCACCTGTAGCTTATATATGTATATGTGTGTGTGTGTGTGTGTGTGTATATATGTGCATGTGTATATGTGCGTGTGTATATGTGTACGTGTGTGTACATATACATATGTGTGTATATATGTATATGTGTATATATAGTATGTGTGTATAAACATGTGTGTACATATACATATGTGTGTATGTAGATGTGTGTATGTGTGTATATATGTATATGTGTATGTGTATATATGTACATATATGTGTGTGTGTGTATATATATACATATATATATATATATATTTCCCCCTCCTGTTTCCTTCTCCTCACAAAACTTTCACCCCTCTTTTCCTTTATTACCATGTTCAAACATTCTTTGTATAGCATCTTAAAGCAACCTGGAGGAAAGCTGTTATCTAATTTGATCTATCTGGGTGGTCATTGGTGCGACTGACCTAAGCAGAATACAACAGCCTTTCCACACACTTCTCGTGCTCTGAAATCCCTGGTCTTTCCATAAATCCTCAATAAACAACATGCCCCCTGTGCTGGTGGTCCATGCTGTTCACTGCCTATCTCAAGGGAATTGCATTGACTCTTATGCCCAATTCATATGTTCTATTCAGTCATTCAGTCATGGCTGATTCTTTGTGACCCTATGGACCACAGCACCATAGCTCCAGACCCTTCTGTCCTCCACTATCTCTCAAAGTCTGTCCAGGTTCACACACAACCAGCCCCTTCTCATTTTCTGATCACATATAGGATGATAAATCTTAGAGCTAAAAAAGAGACCCTAGATGACCAGCCCCTCCCTTCACTTTACTGAGCAAACTAAAACCCCTGAAATGTTAAGTGACTAGCACAGGGGGTGGGGAAACTGTGGCCTGAGGCTACAAGTGGCCCTGCGACTGAATCCAAACTTCACAGAACAAGTTTGTTCTGTGAAGTTTGGAATCAGTCAAAGAGGACCTAGAAGGCCACATGTGGCCTGGA